GTGGTTGAAGGAGCGATGGTATAGGTGCCAGGGGTGGGGCAGACATAAGTGGTCTGCTCAATAACACTAGTGACAGTATCGCCGACGGGTTTGGTAACGGCAATGTCGCAGGTGACAGTGGTTGCAGTGGTCACAACGGTGGTAACACCGCCGTAGGTGTGCTCACCAGGAGAAACAGCAGTGCTTTCCGCAGCGCAGACAGTAGTTTCCCTGGTAACGATGATAGTCGTCGCTGGGATAGTATAGGTTCCCGGGGTTGGGAAGACGGTGACTATTGGAGTAGGAAGATCAGGTTCAGGAGTGACGGAGACAGTCGTAGTCGTGGTGCTGGTCGTCTTGATGGTCGTCGTCTTCTCCTCAACCACTGTATGGAAAAAATTATTGTCAGCGTCAATCCCAGGGCGATTGCGCCCGAACGCGGGCGACAATTAAGATTGCCTCCCCTTTTTTTCACCATCCCATCAAGCTTTCACATTTCTGTTCATCACCAGAGTCCCAATCCACATATATCCCCTTTTCCCCTGACGCAATTGAAAAGAATTGACTATCACTTACGGCTTGGCTCTCCATAGTAAGTGATGACCTTGGTGATGCAACCACAGTTCCCATCATCATCGCCACCGGGGCCATCAGTGGGATAAGGAGATACATCAGTGGTATCAGGGGGAGAAACCACGTAGGAACTGAGGGTGGGAATGGGCGAAGCCTCATAGCCGCCGGTGGTGGTCGTGGCAGGCGAAGCCTCGTAGCTGCTGCTGTCGCTGGGGATGGGGTCGGCCGGATAGGCACGACGCTGGTGGAAGCCGTGGTGCTGTTGATGGCCGACATGGCCCAGGGCCGTGCCAGCGACAGCCGCGGCGGCGGAAAAGAAGAGGGCTCCCTTCATTGTGTCGCAGTCAAAACGGGGATAATGTTGATATCGCGAGACAGGCAGAACAGATAATATGGCTTTTTGCTTCGGGGTGTTGTTATTTGGATGTGGAAGGAGTGAGGATCTTGGCTTCGTGAAGAATGAATGCCCGCTGAAGGAGTGAAGCGGTGGTCAGGGAAAAGACGGGAGTAAGTCGTCGAAGAGAAAAGAAATGAACGGTGATGCGGAGGGGGAGGGAGGGTCGCAAAGCCTTAAAGGAGAGACGAAGAGAGAGAAGACAAGAAGAAGAGAAGGGAAGAAGACAAAAGAGAGAGAGAGAGAGAGAGAGAGAGAGAAGAAGCAGACGGCGAAGATGAAGATGAAGAAAGAAAGCAGAAAGGGGTCAACCAACGCCTGGACAGCGGGAAATGAAATGAAAACGCAGAACTGCCCCTAGCTGGTACCGTCACGCTAGTACGCGGTTACGCTCCATACGGTTGATTGGTATTATTGGCCCTCATTTCCTGCCGCCAATTATGGGCGATAGCGAAAGGGGGGGGGGGGGGTCTTGCAGGGGAATTATTGGCCGATGGGGGTTCATTTCTAAGGGCGCTGGGGAGGCCAATTTACCATCTCCCATCCAACTAACATCCATCTCTCCTCTCCCTACTCTACGTAGTACTACATACATACATAATAGTAAAGACTACCGGTACGTAGTATATGAAAAGACCAAAATATATCTATCTCCCTTGCCCATCGACACAAGAGCCAGACATAGGAAACGAAACAAGCAATACCGAAGGAATACCCAGCGCCGTTAATAATACCAAACGAGGAATGTGATAAACGTGGAAACGTGTAAACGTGTAAACGTGGAAAACAGGTAAACAAGTATGGAGTAAACAACAGGTAAATAAGGGACATGTAAAAGAATTAAGTACGGAGTACAGTACATCACGAATCCATACGCGTACAGTCAGTATGTCTGTACCTTACCAAGATACAAGATACCACGGGTTCCTGACGACGCCCGCGGCCCGCCAAGCCCTGCCAGGTACCTTTTGCTGCTGATTGGCTGCTGCCACCAGACTTCAGCCGTGGACCCCTGCCATCAGCCAGTCATCAGCCAGTCATCGCGCCATCCATCCATACCATACCCAAAAATCTCCAAATCTCGACGGAATTACCGCTGTCAATGCCTGTCATTACACTAACCCGTACTAAGATTACACTTCTAATACACATAATACACTCCTCCTCTCTACCTACCCTACCCTAACTCCGTACCAACAAACAGACCAACGCAGAGGAGAGGAAGGGTTCTCACAACGAATGAAAGCGGAGTGCATTCTATGTGGCCAGCTGTGATACAAAAAATCAAAAAATCAAAAAATCAAAAAATCCAAATCAACCGCTTCACTCCTTCCTCGCTGGCTTGTCTCGGTTCAATTCTTTAATAAAGCCCGCAGCGATTCGGGCAACCACTGCTTCGCATCACGATATCATATCGCGCCCCACCCCACCCCCCCATCTCATTACTGCTGCCACATACTTAGCCCTCAACGCCCAGAACGCCACCGCCCCTCTTGGGCTTTGCCGCCCTGGAAACCCCCCCGGGCAAGGAAGCGAGAGGATTATTACTATTTTATTATTACATACCAATGTAAGTTATGTATGCACTCTATCTGTAATTTCAACAGAAGAAAAATGCCCCAGGAGCTGACTGGCCTGCCTGCCACGATAGTTACTTTCTTCTTTCTGCTGCCAGGAGTCGGTAATTTTATATTCGGAGTAATATAACAGCCCAAGAAAAGCCAAAGGAAATTTCGCTGTCTCACACAGGCGGGATGGGATGCTGCTGCGCTGGCAAAGTTGCGCTGGCCAACTCATTATTGTTGACCTCTTGATGAGGCAAGTTCAAGATCTTGTCGTGCATGAAAAAACTCTTCATCAGCATCAATAAGAGTCAGGTATACTCCGTACATACACACACATGCATTGTTATTCTGCGTCCATACAGTCTGTATAGAGTACCTCAGTGATGTATTATTATTATTATCATTTCTTGAAGAATGGTTCCACGGTTGGCTTCGCATCGTTAATGCATTCAGCAGGAAAAAAGAAAAAAGAAAAAAAAAAAAAAACTCTGAAATGCAAATAATAGAATCTAGATAAGTAGATTCCTGCTCCACTCTCGCCTCCAAGTACTCTGGAAACTCAAAAGATGCTGTCCTCAAAATAAAGAAAGAAAGAAAAGACACAAAAAGAAAGAGAAAAAGAGAAATAAAAAAGAAATCGAGCACAAACACCCTCTCTTATTAGCGTACAGCCCAATATTTCCCACTTCTCAAGCTGAAACATCTGCTTCTGCCGCCAATGGCAGACTTGATATGGTAAAAATCAAAAATCAGCTAGGCGCCAGTCATTATCAACTCACTCACTCACATCCGCATTACTACGTATTCATTATTATTGATAAACCAACTACTATAAACTCCGCACTAGTAGTAGTAGTAGGGCGGTCAAGGGCCCCCAAAAGGCATAAAATTTCCGCATTGCCTGGCATCTTCTTTCGTCCCTTATTACGGAGTGGACAGGCCCTTATTAGAGTCCTAGACCCTTGAAAAGGCAATAGAGAAGAAAAAAGGGACTCAAAAAGGCAAATTGCTGCCCGCTGATCCCTTCGAGACCTTCGAGATCTACCTCAAGGTTTCCACAGAATCGTGGGCCTGAGGCCACAGAGCTGGTGAGCGTCAGGAACAGCTCACTACTCTAACTCCGTATTGGCACCAAGATATACTAGGGACGCAAACCGTTCACAGCATATGTGGCAATCACTTTACCTTAAAAGAGTGTAGAGTCTTTTTTTTTTTTTTTTTCCTTAAAATAGGCTCGAAAAAAATGCGAGAAGATCGTCTGCAAAAAATAGGTTCTTTGAAGAGGGGTAACTATGTGAGAACAGGAAATAAAAAATAAGAATGAAGAAAAAAGAAAAAAGAGCGCAAAGCCTACAAAAAACAACTCAAGCACAACAAATGACAACAGCACAAGAGATGATGGATTCAGCTAAAAGAAAAAGCGACTTCAGCCTCAGACTCAGACTGAAACAGTAGCGCATAAGTAGTGAAATGGCCTAGAACATTTCCCAAGACCGACGACTGTCAGGCAACAGGTGCTCATCAATAATGGACAGATTTTCTCATGATATTATTTGCCCGCTTATTTCTGCCCAAGTGTGTTCTTCTTTGAAGGTTGTTTTGCTCATTATTCCTGTTCTTGAGAAGTTCAAGGTTCAAAGAAGAAAAAATCAAAAAGAAACTTCAATCACTCTGCTCACTCAACCATATCACACACTCACTTTGAAAAACAGAATCACTACTACTGTCCTACCTATCATTAATAATTAGTTACACTCAGGGCAGTCATGTTGTCCCTTTTATTATTCCACGACTCCATTCCCACCCATCTTCTATATCAGGGCTCTACACTACTTCCTGGCGCATGGAGAAACCAACTCCAGCGCTACTTATTTCATTATTATTACATACAGTACACCGTACACCGAGTCTTGTACAGATTACCAGCCTGTACAAGCTGTTACTCCGTACTACGGGTGTTATTAACCCTGCGCTTGTAAGGGAAACAAACGCCGTGCAAACCAATCCGCATCCAAGGATTTAAGCCGCCCAAGAGCCGCCCGAGCGCCCCGAGTTCCCGTTCCCGGACTATATTTTGTTTTCTTTGCTGGGCCGTGTCTTCTGTACTTCGATTATTTCACTACACTAGTCTAGTTACATAACTACATAACTACGGAGTATTTATTATTTTACTTTTTCATTTTCTCTCGGGACCCGGGAGCTGCTCTGGCGATCTGGGAGTGGTCTATGTACATGTACACATATATGTACTGTACATCCTTGCTTGTGGGCAGGTAAGGTAAGGTAAGGGTATCCCGATGCACCCGCTTGCGCGGTAGTTAAGTTAGTAAGTACGCTGTACTCCGTAGTGTAAGTGCAGTGGATTTTGGCAGCCAAATGCAGAGCTATTAAAGTTAAGTGATCACCGATCACTGATGATGGACAAAGATACAAAACAAACGAATCGCTAGCCCCGATTACTATGAGATGGAAAAAAAAAACAACCGCCGCATTGAGAACATGAGTGGCTGAGTAGTATTGATATACGCAATCACTCCGAATACTCCCTCCTAGACGCTCTAAACAACTATATAACCTTTACTAAACTATTGCGCGTCCTGCTCAACTCCACTTCGAAAAAAAGAGAGACATTGTCCTCCTTCATCGATCGGGCTATACCCCCCCCCCCCTCTCTCTTTTCCTTACGGAGTACGGAGTACATGTCTCTCCATTCTCTGCACATGCTTGACATTTCACACAAGGCACGGGCCGAGTTTCCCTAGCTTATTATTGCGGAGAGATGTCTGTCTGTCTGTCTTTCTTTCTTCCCCACTACCTACTGGTGTCCAAGCGCCTGTATCACTGTCATCCATGAATTATCAGATCATGGCGGGAGGGGTTGAAACATGCCTCTCTTTTCTTTTTTTTCCTTTTCTATATATATATATATATATATATTTTTCGATTTTGCATACTTTGAGCTGGGGAAAATGAAAGGGTAAGTTGGGCACACTCCGTGCCCGGCTTCCACCCTGTTGTGATGGCGAAAAAATGTGCAAGCCATATCATGAACATGAACATGTACCCTTGCACAGTGCCTACTCAATGTGAATAGACGTATGTCATTTCCACAAGAAATACGCATAAAAATGCTTGAGTATCATCACCCCATGATGATATACGCATATATCTACAGTACATATATGTTTGTATGTACATGTATGTACATACATATGAACCAGCGTCAGCGAATTTTCCATCAGTGCAACTCTCTGCCGAGGATATTTATTTATAGCATCATCTGCAACATGCATATTATCCTGCATATCTTATCCCCGGGCCCCTTCTTCCCTATCTACCCAACTAACCAGGTATATACATACATAATCTGTATATATATAGAAGGTGGGAAGAGATACGCTTTTTGCGTGTAGAGTATCCCGACTTGCTTACTATATTCCCCCCTGATCAGCCACGGATTACCCAATTTCATCAACGCAAACAATCCTCCCTAGCACAAAATTAATTCCGACGATGGCCCCTGACGGCGTTATGCGGACGGTGTTGTTTGACGCGAATGTTACAGATTACATACTATGCATCGGGGATATTGAACGGGTTGGTTGGCCCAGAAGAGATGGCGGAACATCCAGTTTTATTATTATTCTCTTCGTCGATGGCCTTTCCGCGGGAACGGGGCGGGAACGGGGGTGATCTGATCAATCGCATCCTGGCCTGGGTTCGAGAAGGCATCCATACATGTCGATATCCGGTGGGTGGGACTTGTCGAGTAACTAGTGGAGAAAAGAGAGCGCATGACTTTTTACACAATTTGACGCCCCCCTCCCAGTCCAGGTAAATATACACTTTGATGGGTATGGCTTTGACAGAAATATGTTGAAATCATTGTGATGATGATCCAATTTCCTGTTCTGTTCATCTCCAGCTTCCCTCCTCCCCCCCAAGCAACACGGCGTATGTACGGTACTTCAAAAAAAAAAAAAAAAAAAACCACTCCACCACTCCCCCAAGTACGGGCCTCCCGCAGCCACAGGGTCCTGACCTAGGAGGGAGAGGTCAAGTTGGAGGTAGGAAGATCCGGCACATGTGGGTCTGTATCGAGCTGGTTAGCTTGGATATGGTGGTGATGGGGGTGGCTTTTGGCATTTGGGTCCAGGAAGGGTATTAGGATGTATATATATCACTAGACATGGTGGTGGTTAGATGACAAGTGAACTGGAATGTACAGATCCGATATTAATATTTGATGATAACTGTGAAGCGTGAGATTTAGGTTATCTCGATGTCACTGAGAACGGGGAGGGGATATGCAAGTTGGATATATACGCTAATATTTCCGGGATGGGATGACGCCATGTCTATGCGACAGCAATTTGAAAAAAAAAATAGCACACAACCTCAACAACAGCTTAGAAAGACTGTGCTGGAGCTCCCAATCCACCCCTGGTTTAAGCTCTCGTGGAGCTATGATTGTAGAACCGCCTCTATACTACGTACGAAACGATTCTATATGTTGACACATACCTATATACATATACTCTTCGATCCCCTTTACATATATATATAACTTTCCGTTATATCAAAATCTCAGAATTCAGCATTCAAAATCCAAGAGAAGAGATAACAGACAAAAACCACATCTACTCCCAGGTGGTAATCTTCATGGTACCCTTCTCCTGCAAATTCTGATGCATCTTGAAAGCCTGGAAGAGCAGGTGAGGCTCGTGGCCCATTCCCTTCTTCAGGCACTCGAATTCAGCGCGGTCGAAGTAGTCTTGGAGAATAGGTTTGTAATCGGGGTGCGAGCACTCGGCGATGATTTTGCGAGCGCGCTCACGAGGAGACAAGCCGCGGACGTCAGCGAGACCCTATAGTTTTTAAATTAGTAAAAAGTGGCAAAAGTTGGTCATCGTTACTTGATTTCGTTCACAATTTCCCCCCCGGGGGGGGGGGGGGGCGAAAGAAAGTATCACTGTTTTTTTACTTACCTGTTCGGTCACGATGACATCCAAATCATGCTCTGTCTGATCGATGTGGGTACAGAAGGGTACGATACAGCTAATGCCGGTGGGGTCAGTCTTGCTTGGGCGAGCCGATGGCGTGTGCATGATGCTGTATTTCGCGCTGCGGAGGAAATCGGCAGAGCCGCCCAGTCCATTCAACATGCGCGAGCCCATGACACAGGTACTGTTGGCGTGGGCATAGATATCGACTTCGACGGGGGTGTTCATGCCGATCACCCCGAGGCGGCGGATGATTTCAGGTGAGTTGGAAACTTGCTGTGAGCGCAGGAGGAGTTTGTCAAAGTAGTTTTCCCAGTTATCGTAGAAGCGCTTGAAGCCGTCTGGGGAGAATCGGATGGAGGTGGCAGTGGCGAAGTCCAAGTGACCGCTGTCAAAGAGGTCGAGGAAGGAGTCTTGGAGCACCTCAGTCCACACGCGGAGGTTTTTGAAGTTGGCGCCACCCGTGCTGAGGCCTCCGATGACGGCGTTGGCGATGTTTCCAATACCAGACTGGATGGGTAGGAGGCTGTTGGGGAGACGGCCCATGTTCACTTCATGTTGGAGGAATTCGATGATGTGTCTGGCAATAGCTAGTGAATCCGCATCAGCTGGGGCGTTTGGTTGGGTCTGGTCGGGATAATCGGATTCGACAATGGCAACGACCTTCTCCGGGTCGATTGGGATGTATGTGGTTCCAATGCGGTCTTCGGGTGCCATAATCAGATACGGCTTTCGTCGGGGAGGGATATCGCACATAGTGATGTCGTGTAGACCTTCGAACGAAGGACCGGCGGTATTGACCTCAATGATGATTTTATCTGCCATTTGAACTAATTCTGGAGAAGCGCCAATGGAAGCTCCAGGGATGATTCCGCCTTCTTCTGTGATCGCTGATGCCTCAATAACCACAACATCTAGTTTATTATTTGGCTTATCTTTCGTGTAGAAGCCCTATATTAAAAAGCGTGTTGATCAGTACCAATAACCAAACCCTTATTCCCCCATATGAAATCAAAGTCAAACGACAGCGGCCTGGGGATATGTTCACATACATATACCAAATCCGAGGGGAACATGCTCAGGTGCTTATCAAAGAAATTGATATTGCCCGTATTGATTCCCTTCGCGATCTCCTTGCCAACCTGGTGAGGCGCCCGCTTCTCAATCATATTAAGCTTAGCCCATCGGTTTTCCGTTTCCGCCCCTGACGACGCTCCCACAAAGAGGGTATACTTCAACTTCCCTTGAAGCGAGTTCTTCTCAACATGATCTGCCAGAGCGGTTGGTACTTTCCTGCGCGCGCGCAAATTCACAGTCAGAAAAAAGTAAATAAATCAAGCGCCGTTGGGACAGGTATGATAGCTGGAGATATATCTGGGGACTTTGACTTACTTGGGATATCCAACACCAGTAAAGCCGGACCAGCCGATATAAGAACCATTTGGAAAGAAATTGATCAGATCCTCAGCCTTGGCCAATTTGCTCAGCATGGACGGCCGTCTGACACGGCTTTTCAACAGGGCAGAAGCAGCCATGGTTAGTATAGAGTTATGTATATATGTCTCGTACGTCCCCTTTTTCTGTATTCACTTCGCTCAGCCGGAAAGCCTCCCCACAAGGACCGAATTGGAGGTTAAACGTCAAGACAGATAAAAGCAATGGGCAATTTCTTTTTCTTTTTTTAATTTTTTTTTTTCAAAACTTTAATGAAAAAAAGTTTACTAGGTTCCCAAGTTGATGAATGAATGCAGCATACTCTCCCGTGCAGAGTTATAGCTAAAGAAAGATATAGCCAAACTGACAGCAATTTTGGGAAGTGAATCAAGAAAATAGAAGTGATGGAACAAAAATGAACAAGATGATGATTAATTTTAAAACCTTTGGGGGAAATAAAATGCCCCTAATGATCCTCCCCTCCCCCCGGCGCCACTGTCTCTCCGCCATTATTATCTCTGTATTCTTCGCAACCCAGCCCTGCGGGGGGGAGGGTCCGTTGACACGCAAAAATTTCAAGCACTCGGCCATGGCTCGGGGCTGGGGCAGGATAGCCAGGGTGGACATATCCTAGGCGTTGGCAGCAGGGCGCATTAATTGGACACTGCCAAACAATCCAAGCAAAAAAGCGAGATGAGAAGAGTCTTGGAGGACAAAAATAACAAGGTCTTCTGCGCAGAGAGATAAGAAAAAGAGAAACATCATCTTTGTTTTTCATTTTACTTCCACAGAATGCCCGCCCATCCCATCCCATGCCTAGCTGGGGGGGAGAAGGGAGGAGAGGAGAGGAGAGAGGAGCAACTTCAACTTCGCGATTGGCGTCGTGCGCTTCACCGCCTTACTCTCAACTAACCCACAAAGGGTTTCTTCTATTATTTAACTTAATATTCGCGAAAACTCGTTGGCGGCAGAAAAATATCCTGGAAAACTTGAAGCTTTTTCTTTCTTTTTTTGTTCGATTTCGCCGCCAGCGGATCCACAGAGAACGTGGGGGTGAAGCTGAAATAATAAAAACTATCTCTGTTCCTCGTATTAATCCCACAATAAAAATAAATACAATAAAATAAATACATAAAAAAAATTACATAAAAAAATAAAATAAAAACAAACAACCAAACAACCAAACAACAAATAATAATGATAATAATAATAGCAACGGGCTTATTATTACCTAGGTATGAAGAGGTTCTGCAGGAGTAAACAAAGCCTTTTGTGGTGAGGTCAGGATAAAAAGTAACAGAGATTCGGATGGAGTCACACAAACAAATGGCGACGTAGCATTTTCAAAGCTTAGCCTGCAACATAACTAACTATAGAAAAAATTAAAAAATTAACAAAATTAAATTAAAAATAAAAATTAAAAATAAAAAAAAATTAAAGAAAAAAAAAAAAAGAAAGAAAGAAAAAAGAAAAAGAAGTACTACATAAAATCCTACAGTAACAAAAAAAAAGTAATACTGACAGAGAAACATAATAAACGGAGAGGGGAGCATTAGAATTTGTTACACAAGACGGAAAAAAATTATAAAATGAAATAAAATGAAACGAAATACCCTTCGCATCCAGTCCAGTATTCAAGTTTCCTCCACCGAAATGATCTTTTTCGCCGATGGCCCAAATAATATCAATAACAATAATTAACCCCTATCCATCGAGAGTGCCCCTGCGATATCATCCATCACGCACCCAATGCGTCGTATGTGGAAGCTTCCAATTCAGCTGAGCGGCGTAGGAGATAAGATGTTGATTACGAAAAGAAAATAGAGTGAAGCAAATATTAACAAACAAGAAAGAAAAAGAAAAAGAAAATAGAAAGAAATAGCAGACAAGAACGGGGAAAAAAGGAAACCAACAACCTTCCCACAATGAATTTGGAAAAAAAAAAAGAAAAGAAAAAAAGGCTCCCACTCTAACGATTCCCCCTTGGTCACGACGACGCCTCGACTGCCACTTCTGGAGCCGCATCGGTCATTTCTTCGTCTCCTTTTTGGCCATTATCTTCCTTCATCACGATATCCCCATCCTGTTTAATATGACCACGACCATCGTCACCTGTCGTTGCAGGTTCTACTTCCGCCTCTATCTCACCAACCCACGATCGGAATCGTTGATTTGCCTGATCGACTTCTTCCTTCGTGAGCCCGTGAACCCAGCTGGGATTGCTGACAAACTTTTCCCGGAACCGCTCTTTGCGCCTTTCCCTGGCTGCAGCGCGCTCCTTCGCAGCCTCTGCAAGATCTTCTTCTGGATTAGCCCGGCGATACCACCAATCCTCGGTGCCAGGCTCGTAGAGAATATGGTAGCTGTTGGCGCATATACGTATGACCAACCCGTCGTGGCTAACGAGAGGCTTGTAATACAGGTTATATTCTTCATCCGAATCCATTTTGCCAGGAAGGTTCCGCTTCAAGAAAGGCATGCGCATTTGTGAGAATGGTACTCCTTCAGTCGGGTCACGCATTGTGAACGCAGAGACATAGTAGGACCATCTGGCTTCTGCATTGAGCTCTTCATTGTCAAGGGTGCCGTCTTCAGCGGTTAACAGCTGAGCCGTAACGTGCTTGGTAGCCGGAACCTAAATTGAGCGGAGAGAGAGTTAGCTTGAATTCGCTGTGAAAAATCTTTTATTTTCAAAATGCCGATACTTACGAAAGTAACTCGGTAAATATCCCCTTCCTTAATTAATTTTTCAATCTGCTTGCGGTATTGGATCTCCTGGTTATGAGTTGTCATGTCCTTGCCACGCTCTTTGAAGAAGATATTGATGATATCTGAGCTCTTATCCTTGGGATCAGAGTTGAAAATCCCACCGGCATATCTAGAGATTCCACTCAGGATCTTGTCCAAGTTGTAAAGCTGCCAGCCAGTCTTCAGGTAAAACCGACGTAGTGTCTCCTCCATATGGGACATTTCGATGTTTCCCTTAATTACTTCCTCGCACATGCGGACGATCTGATGGTACAGATTAGATTTTGGGTCCGTATCATAGAGGAGATCAGAAGGAGACTTGTCGATCATTCCAAGATCGTAGGCAGCCTTTGAAGCCATCGCCCTGCGTACAGCTTCGTGGGCATCTTTCTCATACAACTTAATGCGGAGAAGGCGGGTATAGAAAATTTCGAAGGTGCGGATAAAGCAGTAGATGTTTAAGTTGCAGTAGAGATGATGAACCTTCTTCTTGTATGATTCATTCAAGGGAACTTCGCGCTGCTGGTTGAAGTTACCCTGGCTTGGATGCTCCATCCACTTCAATTCAGCAACATCGAATGGCTCAGTTGGGTCCGGAATTGGGGTGGACGGAACAAGAGTCCCTATACCTGGCGTGGATGCTCGGCTACCAGAACGTACACTAATGTCTCGATCAACACGTGGAACCTTTTCATTGCGGCGCTCAAGAACATCACGCAGAAGGTCTAACTTTTTGCCATTCGCAATCTTCCGTGATCGGATGGTAGAAACATCTTCAGGCGGGGGTGTTTCATCTTCAGCTTCCTCGCTGACCGGTGTGGTATCATAAACTTCGCTTAGGTACGTTTTGAAGCCCTCACGATCCATGCCAAAAAATACGGGAATGAAGTCCTTCAAGAAGTTCATGACTTTGTTTGGGTCTGCCCCGAAACCGGTAGAGTTGTGGTCGATATGGCACAGCAAAAGGTGAGTTGCGTCTACAAGAACCTCGGCATCATCAAACGCGAAATCAAATTGATAGTTGGGAACTTGATATCCGCTCTTTCTAATATTTCGAAGTTCTTCGAGCTTGGCCTGGATTTCGTGTTGGATGTGTTTCGCGACGAATAACTTTTTATCTGACCCTTTCATGATAATAGCTTGGTGATCAAGACTCCTCCAAAAACCTTTTTGCATTTGCTCACGCCATACTTTATCCCATTCACGCTGCAAAACATTATTAGTACACTTGAAGTATGCATCCATTATACGAAACTATGGGGTTACTTACTTGGCTAGCTTTCCATTCTTCACACTTCTGCTTAAGTCGTGCAAGAACAATGGGAAGCACAGTGCATGGCCGTGCAAACATTTCGTCGATAACTCTCTGGCCACGCTCCCTATCATAAATCTTCTTAATGATCCTCCTGTAAATTGTTTCACTCTGCCCTCCCAGCCCTGGAGGGAGTTTGAAATTCGCTCTCTCCGCTTCAGTCATTGTCGACATTTGTTGGACAAGGGGCTCCATAAGCTGAATGGTACGAATACACGCTTCGATGTGATGATCGTAGTCATGCCTGTCCTCTTCAATACGATGCAGAGAGTCTTCGTACTGATTTTTCCGATGAGCAACAAAGCCCGAATCCTCCGAGGCCCACGTGGGATGGGAGGCCCATTCATCATTGAGAACGCTTTGGCACATATCATCACGGCCGCTGCAAGGCTTCTGGCGCTCACGTTTCGGTAGCAAGCGATAACTAGGACCAAGGGCGCGACAATGCGACAGATTGACAACGCCGGACTCAGGTTTGGCTTTCGGCTCAATGATCTCATCCTTGGGCTCAACATGCATAAACCTCTTGAACCATGACATAATCTCCTGGTTGCCTCCGATGAAACTAGCCGCTCGGTTGATAAGGATATTCCTATCAATTAGGTCCGCCGAATAGAGGTTACAAAGCTTCAAGAATTCCCCAAAAGTTTGCTTGTTTCCAATGTACTTCTTGACGCGATCGAAGAACGCATATTCTTCATGAGACGGAGTCAGTGAAAAGGAGGGAGATATCGGTTCTGGAAGAGCGGGTACGAGCGTTGGAGATACAGCAGGGGGGGCTTCAGCTTGGGTCGTCGGTTTGTGGCTCAGTTTGGCTCTTTTGCCAACAGCGCCGGGCTGGACACCTGGAGCCCTATTCGACTGGCTACCGGTGATGCTAGCAGAATCGGCAACTGCACTTGGGGCTGCTCCCAAACCAGTACTTCCTGGAGGCTGGGCGGGAGGTTGGCCACGTCGTTTCTTGATATCTTTTGTAGGCTCCTTCACGTTAAACTGACCCAGAGGGGGCATCTTCACATCGCGGTTTTGCCCCTGGAGCAAGGTGGACGAACTTGCATATCCAGGCTCTCCCCGTATGTTACTGATGGGTGTAGCCTCTTCGGCTGCCTGGCGAGCTGCTGCTGCTTGAGCCTTTGCCTGGGCCGCTGATTCGGGAAGGAATTGTTTAAAATCTTCGAGGAGGTCTGGGGCGGAGTTGAAGAGGAGAGTAACCTGGGCGTACACATCTTGAATTGGTTTCGACTCTCGCTGGTATGTCTGGAGGATTTCGAGGAACTGTTTATACGTATCGGGGGAATCGGCAAAGCGGTTCTATTCGGAAAACACAGTGGGTGAGCAATTGTTATTACCCATGTAGGCTTCCTACTACCCTTACCAAAAGGAGCACATACCTTGATCTTATTAACGTAGCTGATAGCATGGTTGAACTCAACAGGACCGCGTTTACTCATATCACCCTGCACACTATGAAGCACACCAGGCCCCAAACTCCCCAGGTTATTCATGGGCTGGGCTGGCCCTTGGGGCTGCATACCGCTCATGTTCATCACTGACGATCGTCCAGACCCTGCTGTGGCAGCAGACACGGCGCTCTGCAACTGTGAAACGCCTCGTTGTTCCTGCTGATGTGCAATTGCCGCAGCGTTATTTTGCGCTTGTTGGTCTTGCTGGCCCGGGTAATCATAAGCTGACTCCTGGGGCTGGTTTTGCGCGCCTTGTTTCCCGCCGTAAATCGCGGATGGCATTAAATGGCCTTTTGGAGAGTAAGGCCCGCCGGGACCCATGTTCATTCTCGACATTTGTTGTGGTTGTTGTTGGCCTTGGGTGGGTGGTTGTTGCCATCCGGAGCGAGGTTGGTCATAGTAGTCGGATCCCGCAGCAGGTCCAGGCCCTCCTTGCGGCACCGAGTCACTCGCTGCTTCCAAAGGCGGCCTCGTTGCCGACTGCATTGAAATAGTATTTGTTCCTGATGGAGTTGTCACCCGGATCGCATCTGGGTTATCCTCAGTGCCGCATTCAATTCGGTAACCGGGTGGCAGAAACGTATTAAACCCCTGGATAAGTGTCGGATGGCCGTTGAACAGAGTAGAAACCCGTTGGATAACGCCAGGGGTGTCAATTCTATAAAGGTGAGTCAGTACTCTCTCACTTCTGGCCGCGCTTCTCAAGGCACACTTACGCTTGACTTTTAAAGTCTTTCATTATATCCAGGAAGCGGTTATAGACATCAGGCTGTTCGACGAATCGAACCTTCACCTGGTCAAGATAGCTTAATGCATCCTGTTGGGCGGTCGCCATTGGATTAGTACAGATCCCAATAGTTTGCGTGAAGTGGAACGGGAAAAGAAGGAAAAGGGTGATGAATTCGCAAAGTGGCAGATCTAGACAAGAAGTAAGTTCAACGCTAGATGAGCGTACATTCTCAGAGCATATATGTGTAGCTCTGGAGTGCTGAAGGCTCCTGAAAATGACACCATTGTGAATAGGTATATTCTTTGAGCTGTGGCCCGAAAATCGTGAAAGGCATTATCTTTCTAGGCACTTCAGGTCCAACAGTGCCAAAGCGCTTTGACTCAAAGAATGATACTGCATCCCACAAAGCCATTCTTTATACGGAAGGTATCCTGTCGCCCCAGACGTTTCCCAAAGTGCAAACGCTAAACAAAAGGAAGAAAAAGGAGACCACAAACGCAACCCTCTGCAAGAGATGTCAACTTACGTTTAATATTGGTTGTTGCCCTTGTGCCAAAGCAGCTACACTTCCCGGGATCTGAGGTGGTGCATTGCCATTGAACCCAAGCATTGATTGCTGAGGTGGCTGGCCTTGGTGGAGATATGCTCGGGGAGGACCATCTGCGTGCTGTTGCATCTGGTTGCCAAATAAACCTCCAGGTGCATTCGAACTAGGAATAGGACCTTGTTGAGGGTTAGGTGCAGCGCTTGCGCCCAGGTTTGAGAGCAGGCCATTAGGCCCACCGAGGGGGTTGTGACCTTTGGACGCGACGGGTTGGTGAATAGGAATTGGGCCGGCGTGGCTTTGTACAGGATGATGCGGTTGGTCGCGATTATACCGATCCATGAGTTCCCGTTCCCGTTCTAGTTCTCGGTATTCGCGCTCTCTGTGGATCATTTCGTCTTCGCGAGCTAGCTCTCGTTGTCTTTCTAGCTCACGGTCTCGGTCCCGGTCTCGATCTCGGTCTCGCTCTCTCGAGTCTCTTTCACGTTCGCGGTTTAGAGATGCTTGTGGGGGTGAATGTTGCATCGACTGGCCAATCCCGGGAAGAGGGTGGCTTGGGGGATGAGACGGTTGTTGATGCTGGCCATATCTCGGAGGGGGTTGGTGTGATGCTGGAGGGGCGCCAGCGCCTTGCGTTAAATCTGATAGGGTGGGGAGTGTATGCCCGGATGACTGGTTGACAGGATGGTATGGGCCTATATAACGAACAACAGGTTAGTTGCCGCGAGTTTTGCGCGTCTATGGAATGCGATTGTGCCTCTTCCTCAGTTCTTGGCGCTGTTGGTCGCAGTTGTGCCAGGGACGGCAAAGAGCGGGCAAAGTGGAAAAAGGAGCTCACTATGGTATCAAAACAGCATATGTTAGCGTCAGAAGCTCAATAAAAAGGGCCTTAACACCGGTTATGATGATGACACAAGGGGTATTTTTGTGCGCAAGGGAGAAGAAAATTACTTACCCATAGGATCCCAGGGGTCGTGCTGGGGGCTGGTTCATCTGGTCAACTCCAGGATGAGGTTGCGATCCACCACTTCCCGAGTGCCACGAATCCTTATTTGAGGGATTCATCGTGTTTATATGTAGTCAAAATATGGCTCCGGGGGTGACTAATTTCAACACTAGGAAGAAGCTGTAGGCGATTTTAGCCTCTTTTTGTTGGTGGTTGCGAAGGAGAAGAATGGGGGAGCTGGGGAGATGACAGGAGAACAGGGAGGGTCAAAAAGCAGAGGATAATATGAACATAGTCACAAGTTAAAATGACAAGATATTTCCCAACATGTATGCGACCAACCACAGCAGGGTGATTAAGCTAGACACACGTAGTCTGCGTGGTTGAGAAAAGTTGAAGCTGGCGGAATCAATCTGGAGGTGATGATGTTGCTACTGACCGCCCTGGGACAAGGGGAGAGGCTCGATTTTTCTGCCGCGCTCCAACCACGGCGCTAGATCCCTTTGGGTTGCGGCTAGGGCTTGCTGATTGGGGGAACCGGAGTAGCCGTCCACGTGACATCTGCGCCGATTTTGTTTGCCGAACCCTGGTCGACGCCAAGAACCGTGATTGGGCTATTCCTACCTAGGTATTGTTAATAACCTATCACGTGATACTAACTTATCAATTGTTTTGTACTAGGCTAGGTTCCTACTCAACGCTTTCCAACCTAAGAATATACATATGAGTGTGCGCCTGTGTAATATCACAGTTATTAGGGGAATTATCATGGTTGCAAACATGGGTCATCCCAATTACATCCACCCGGATCTCCATGTTGCGAAAATTGCCACCCCGACACCCCGCATGCCAAAACGCTCTGTTTCAAGTGACACAACATTCTAGGAAAGAAATAAGTCCTCAGACATGACTTCCGAGTATACGAGCCCTAGAATGCTTAATGACGCACTCTACATCCTGAAAGATCGCCTTGGATTCATATTTTTTCCTCTTCCCTTACCAACCATGTCTCGTTCAAAACAAAGATATATTGAAGCCACTGCAACTCTTCCGAAATTTCTTGGATTGAGCTTTGATCGGGCAGGCCATTATAATCCTCATTTCATATTCCTTAAGGCAGGGGGAACATTATCACTTTTTCCCCCAGAGGGTCGAAGAATGACATTTTGAATATGGCTGGCCGTCCATGTGGATTAATGGTCGCAGTGCATGTTCTCTGCCAGAACTACCTGCAAATTCGGGTTTCTATCTCTTCTATCGATTTGGAGTTGGTAAAAATTCCAAAGCAAAGTACTTCAAAAAGGGATCACTGGAATATGTCTAAACTCTCTCCAAGTGTTAACAGAGGGTACTCAAGTACAATTACTGTCATGTCATGGGCGGAGCTAATAATCGACAAACGGAAGCAATCTTGGTTCAAGAGGCGGGGGATGAAGCGGATGTGATAAGTCTTGATAAGTTTTGGCCTTTCAGTATGCTTGCCCACTGGTTTTCAATGAGTGTATACTATATATGTCTTGGAAATTATAGAGCAATGATGAGGCGGTAACGGATGGGAATCTCTTGACCTTCAAGGAAGTATTCGGTGTATCAGTAGAAAATGTGGTTGTTTCACCCAGCATTATTTAGAGCGCCTTTGTACTGCGTATAGTTAGATTTCGGCTTAGCCGAGATAAGTTAAGCGAGCTTGCTTAACTATGAACAAACGACGCTGAAGGAAATACAACTTCCAAGATTATCAGCAAGGGTTGATCTAAAAAAGATATATATCGGGATTCACTGAGCGATAGATATTTTAATAAATCTGCATAATAACCCTGAATTATGGATCGTTTTCGTATCGCCAACCCGTTCGTTCGGCCGATTTCGCTACATATCCGCTTAACCGTCCATGTTGCTATCGGGTTGTGACTGACCGCGCCCAACATGTGGCCACTTAAATATCTGGCATTCACTTCTTGGACTGCATTGGGGTTTACCTCGTGGCATCTGTCGCCTGCATTGAATTTCGATAGCCGAGAGGCGACGATCGAAACAGTCCACGGTGAGCTATTCTCAGGGAGGACATCATGTCGGGAAGTCGTATTCTCCTTCCTGGCCCGGATCGAGGAATACAACCCGAAAATCAACGCAGTTGTGAGCCTAAACCCGCGGGCGTTAGAGTATGCGGATGATATGGACAAAGCTTTCGGGGAGAATAACGCCAACGGATCCCTCTTTTGCATCCCGATCCTTTTAAAGGATAATTACAACACTGTCGACATGAAAACCACTGGAAGTTCCAGGGCCCTGAAAGACTCCCAGCCAACAGCTGATGCTCCATCCGTCAAGGCACTCCGTGATTCAGGGGCGATTATTCTAGGAAAAGTGAATCTACACGAGCTTGCCCTCGAGGGTCTCTCGGTCTCTTCTCTTGGTGGTCAAACTTTGAATCCCTATGACTTGACCCGCACACCTGGCGGCAGCTCTGGCGGAACTGGTGCAGCCATTGCAGCTTCATTTGCGGTACTAGGGACGGGAACTGATACAGTTAACTCATTGAGGAGTCCCGCAAGCGCCAATAGCCTGTTCAGTATCCGTCCTACCCGTGGCCTGATCTCTCGGACTGGAGTTATTCCTGTCTCATATACGCAAGACGTTCTCGGGCCAATTGCGCGAAGCCTGAAGGATGCTGCTACTGCTCTCACGGTTATGGCAAATATTGGATATGATCCCCAGGACAACGCGACGGCTCTTGTCCCAGAATCCGTATTGGGTGTCGACTATACTAAAGCGCTAGTTGCCCCAGGTAGGTTGAAGGGCATTCGCCTAGGCTTAATTGAGGGCTTCTTCAACCGCACTCGAGACTCCGAGACAAGCCCTGTGAATAAAGTGATGAACGACATGATATCAAAGCTCCGAGCAGCGGGTGCTACTGTTATTACCATCCACGAAAGCATCTACAATTCAATCGAGATTTCCAAGGACCTGGATGTGCAGAGGTTCGAGTTCCGCGAACTGATGGACGCGTACCTACAGAGCGAAACACTTGGAGGGTCTCGCCCGTCGAGTCTAGCCGAGCTGTACAGCAGCGGGGGGTATCTTGTGATTCCTGAACAACACTCCTACGTGACGACCGCCCTCGTTTCATCAACAAGCAACGCAACTTACGCAGCGAGACAATATGGAATCCAACACCTCAAACTTGCCCTGCAAACTACCTTCAAGTCTCACTCTCTAGACGCCATCATTTATCCCGAACAGCAAAATCTGGTTGTGAAAACGGGCTCCCCTTCACAATCTGGTCGCAATGGCATTTTAGGAGCTGTCACAGGGTTTCCAGTTGTTACCATTCCTGCAGGATTCTCACCAGCAAGTAAGGATGCGCCGGACGGTGTACCCATTGGGATGGAGATACTGGGGTTACCTTGGACGGAACAGAAGTTGCTCAGTATCGCGAGCAGCATTGGAAATTTAGAGCAAGTTAGACGCATGCCACGGTTGGTTTCAAAGCCTGTGCGGTCTAAGAAGTATAACTCTGTTCCCATTATTAACCCAAATTCGGACGGCATTTCTGGGACTTATCCGCTTGGTCTCCTCGGAAATGAGTAATTGAGACTCCATTTGGGTGTCAATATTTATCTTTGCCAAACATAACATGCACGGACAGCTTTAATGGCGATGGTGGGAGGATGCATAGAACCTCCACTTGGAATTTATAGATACCTTCTATGGAGACTACATAATCAAAAGGGTGTTCTCACCCTTCGTTATGCAGCTTGGATTTCTTTCTGGCCTGGCTCACTTTAAGCCATTGAAACCCGTATCAAGGGTTCTGATGAGTGACTCACTGGTCTCATTTACAGCAGTTATATGGATAAAAATTATTTTCAAGACCTATAAGTGTCTACCTAGGCATGTAGATAGGCCTATATAATGAATTCTATGTTATCAATTGATATGCCGCAGTTATATCTCCTTGTCCACGTAAATACCGGTTGACCAGGTATAAGGTTATAAAATTCGTGTTAATTTCGTCGGCTGAGAGACTACATTTGCCATTGCATATTAAATAAGCTGCATAAATGATTTTTGGACCGTAACACAAGTAAGTGTCTCTGGATACTATGTCTCGTCAATATTTTAAACCTCCGTACCCCTCAATCCTCACTTCCCCACCATTACCAACACGTTTGACTCTCTCAAGTTGACCACTTTGTGCTTTCTATTCCTCACTCAACACAGTGTTTTGCTTTTATCAATCTAATCATGGAGACGCTAGAACCTCATACAGTCTCCCTCCTCAATGTCCCGTCTAAACAAGCCCCGGCCGAACCCCGCGCAGTTGTAACAGAATGGGTGGACCAATTCCGCGCGTCCCTGGCGCAGGGGAATGTGTCCGATTTACAACGGCTCTTCCACAAAGATGCATGGCTGCGCGATATGGTGGTTCTCTCGTGGGACCTCCGCACCCTCCACGGTGCTGACAGCGTAGCCGCCTATTTCCAAGAGAACCTAGCGAGAGCAAAGTTCGAAAAGCTTCAAGTTAGGGACTCTGGGCGGTTCGCACCGGCGTTTAAAACAGCTGCGCCGGGATTACAATGGATTGAGACTATTTTTGATTTTGAAACGGAGACGGTGAAGGGTGCTGGAGTGCTTAGGCTTGTCCAGGATAGCGATGATGCTTGGAAAGCGTACATGCTCAGTTTCACACTGCAGGGGTTACAGGGGCATGAAGAAATGTGTGGCCGCAATCGCCGTGATGAAGGTTCTAATGCAATAGCGGATAATCCACATGGGGAGACATGGCTAGAAAAGAGGGCGAGGGAGAGGAGCTTCAAAGATAGTGAGCCCACTGTACTAGTCATTGGAGCAGGTATGTCTCATTATCCATATCCTAACTTATGTGCACGATGTACGACATGGATTTTAACAAAATACTCGGGCAGGGCAGGCAGGGCTCATGATCGGTGCCAGGCTGGGCCAACTAGGCATCCCGACCCTGATCGTTGAGCGTAACGCCAGGATTGGCGATAACTGGCGCAAGCGATACAAGGTATGTGGATATCAAGCCCCAAAGGGCATGATATTACCTTATCGTGCTAAACATGCACTTATAGACCCTGGTCACCCATGATCCGGTCCATTATTGTCAAATGCCATATCTTCCATTCCCATCCTCTTGGCCCCTGTATACCCCCAAGGACAAGCTAGCAGACTGGTTCGAAGCATACGCTAGCGCCATGGAACTCAATGTATGGACAAACACAGACATTGAAAGCAGCGAATACGACGAAAGCTCAAAGACGTGGTCCGTAACTGTGCGTTCGAATGATAGTACTTCACGCACCGTACATCCACATCATGTCGTCCTAGCCACCGGTCACTCAGGGGAGCCGCTAGTGCCTAATGTCCCCGGAAAAGAGCAGTTCCAGGGCGAAATATATCATAGCTCGCAACACAAGCACGCCTCTGATCATGAGGGTAAGAAGGGTAAGAAGGTCGTCGTCGTCGGTACTGGGAACAGCGGCCATGACATTGCGCAAGACTTCTACGAGAACGGCGCGGACGTAACCATGCTCCAGCGCCGCGGGACCTTCGTGATCACGCAGAAACACGGAGTAGCTGCGCTTATGACCGGTATGTATGATGAAACCGGCCCAGCCACCGACGAGGCGGACACCTATGTGCAAAGCATGCCTATACCCGTTCAACTCGCCTGCCACGTGTTTGCAATGAAGATGCTTAGCGAGGGTCCGGAAAAGGCAATGCAAGAAGGTCTAAGGAGGGCAGGTTTTAAGCTCGATGCTTGCCGTGATGGAGCGGGAATTTTTCGGAAATATCTCACTCGTGGAGGTGGGTATTACATCGATGTCGGCTGTAGTCAATTGATTGTCGATGGTAAGATAAAGGTTAGGCAGAGTGGGGGAGGGATTGAACGGTTTGAGCCTGATGGCCTTGTGCTCGCTGACGGAAAGGGGACGAAGCTTGCTGCTGATATCGTGTTGTTGGCCACCGGGTATGATAATATGAAAAGCACTGCGAGGAAGATTATGGGGGATAAAGTTGCTGATAGGCTGTATCCCGCATGGGATTTGGATGACGAGGGGGAGCTTAATGCGGTATGTTCAATTCCGTCTTTACCCCTGGCCGCCTCCCTCTATTGAATTCTTTGCCCTGAACCCCTTTGTCTTTCCTTGCTGTCCGCATTCGCATATTGCATATTAATTATGCTCAATTTCACGCAGCTAATTCATATATGATGGCTATAGATATGGCGTTACAGCGGCCATTCTAACTTCTGGTATATGGGCGGGAATCTGGCTCTATGCCGCCTGTTTTCCCGACTGCTAGCGTTGCAGATTCTGGCAATGGAGGAAGGATTATATGTCCTCCCGAAGAGTAAGAAGTAGCTTGGGATAAAATAAGACATGCGCCGAATAGAAGCAATAATATGAGGAAGGGCCTGGGCTTCGTTGCTTCATGTTATATAGAGAAACTCTTCATCCACACCTGCGTGCTCGAGAAAGTATCGCATCGCAATGCAAAGTCTGCCAAACGCGGTGGGTGATTTGCGGAGCGAAGCGAAGCATTATGTTAGGTGCTTACTTTTCATAGAATATCAGCAAGTATCTCTAAGCTCACTGATCTTACTAGTTTTTCAATTCTTTTGTTTTTTTTTTTACTGTGTCTCTGTCATTCATGCTATACTTGATTGCAGTGACAGCAGTGAAAAGTTGAAATATCTGTCAGATTGATTTTATCACAGCATTTCTGATTAGAATAGAAGGTGAGATCTTGCAGGCCCCATTCTGTGATATGATTGGTTGAAAAAATGCACACCACCCCATGTGACCGCCCATAGAGGAAGGCCATTGATTGGTTATGTTGAATGCCACTGTGGATTGATGAGAAGTTCTACTGATGTTGATCCCCCTGTCCACCCGCAGCACGATGATGATGGGAAGAAGGCCCTGAGCCAGCTGTTGAGATTCCTTCTTTTCCTTGATGATTTGAACCTCCCGCGGAAGGATCTCCATGTTGATGTTGAGAATGTTGTTGATCTTTTTCTTTTGTGTGAGAAGAATCCCCTTGTGTATTCCCTTTTGAACCAGCGCGTGTGTCCCAAGCATCCCCATTCAGATTCCACTGTTGATACACCCGTTCCAAAGAAAGAGGTTAGCAATGAGAAGATAGCTGCTGCAGATTCTACCTCATATACCTTAACAGATCTCACAACGCCTACTACCAGAATGCCTTGCTGAACCATTATGCCAATGCCAATGCCTGGGACCCCCGGTGGCCCGTTCTTCGATGCATCTGATCTGTCAATGTCGAATGCCCCTGCCGGTTCTGCATCTAGATCAATGTCGAATGTGCCTTCCTGTCCTGTGTCGAATCCGTTTGTGATGGATGCAAATGCCATTCCTGTGATTCCTGCCATCCCTGCAATTCCTGCTGTCCCATCACTGATTCCTGCCGTCCCTGTGATTCCCGCGGTGTTGAATGCGAATACTGTTCCTGCTTGCAATGTTGATAATGAGCAGCGCGTGGATAATAGTGTTCTAGAGAAGCTGGTTGGCCAGATGGATTCTTTATCTCTTGCAGTTGCCGGAATTCAGAGACAGAAGACACAATCTATGGCTGCCCTGAAGATTCCTCCCACCCGTGGACCCGTTGATCATTCTCATCCTATTGATATGCCGAAATGTTTCATTCCATGGTTTTCAGCATGATCCTGGTTTTGATCGATCGAATTGCTGGGGTTGTGGAGACTCCAGCCATAATGTTCCACTCTGTTCAAAGATCAACCGGCTCCTTGACCAGGGGAAGATTTATAGGGATATCCATGGGAAATACTATGTGGGTAATGTTGTCAATCGCGGCCCAAGGATTCCTCTCAATCGATATGAACCATATATATTGCCTCTATCGAACGAGCCCTCAGCCGGCATGCTGCACAGGATCCCCCTGTCTCTGCTGTCCCTGTCTGCACCATTCCTCCCCGCGTCCCACTGCTGTCCCTTTCAGCTGGAGATGAGGGTGATCAACAATTGGAGGATCTTCGTGGTTGATGATGTGGGATGACGTTGACTGTGATGTTGGATGTTGAATATGGTGTGGGATGGCATTGAATGTGGGATGTTGAATGCGATGTGGAGGACATGATGTAGAGTTGCGAAATGGATGGAACAGATATTACCGCGTGGTAGATGGCTCACAGCCAATGAGGATTTCCCGGCCCAGGGCCATCACATGATTCAACCAATCATGAGTGCCCATGTCAGCAGCACCTTCCGCAATTACCGCCTACTGCCATCTGTCTGTCTCTATTTTTGGTTTTTCATGTTCCCGCTGCTCCGTGAATCTGTCGTTGTTCTCTTTCCTTTTCTGCCATTCTTTTTCGTTTTTCTTTGTTCTCCTATTGGTTGTCTTTCCTTTTCTTTGATTCTTGATCCGCTCATTGATTCCCCGTCTGTATTTTTCCTATTTTCTATTGGTTCTGGGTTGCAATCTTTCTTATGTTGCTGATCTTGTAGCGAAGCCCGGCGAAAAGTTGTTCCACTTCAAGACTACACACTTAAATTCATCAAAGATGATTAGATAGCTTACAGACTATGCAGATGTTGTTTTTTTTAAAATTAGTTATTACAGAACGATCAAATTAATGATTTACAGAGAAGAATGATGATAATGATGAAAATATTTAATTCTACTATATTGCAGTTCATCTGTAGAATTGCTGTTTTCTAATGTGATCTAACTCTGCAATAATTAGCACACCAAGGCTTGTGTGCTACAAAAACATTTTATATATTGTTTCGGGTATACTGTTGAACTCATGAAAGAGAGGTAGGTGATTGATTGATTGATGTAGTCGCAAACAATCACCAAAAAAAAAAAAAAAAAAATCCAAAGGTTTTTCGACACTCCCCTCCCTATACTACAACTTATGGCTGCTAGTGAGAAGCATCATCTCAACCAGATGAATAGATGAAGATTTTAAGAACTGAGGAAAACGTTGAGGTTTAATATATCTCTATTTGTCTCGTATCTGCCCCATCCATTGGATTCTTGGCCTGACTGTCGCGATTTGCGAATTAATTAATTTTATTTCATCTTTTCCTATCTTTTCCCCTTTGAGGTGCATGGTTAGGTTGATTTGATCCCAGAGCCCAGAGACATCGGCAGGGGGAGCTGAGTCGAGCCTCAGCTTTTTTAAATAGTTAAATCCCCGAGGCGCGGTCTTGGCAAGCGTCAGATTAGAAAATTCCCTGTGACTATCTATGTACATGTACTTTTTAGCCTTTCTTTAGAATAAGTTACTGCCTCGACAGATAAATACATCAATGCGACGCCCTCCCTCAAATAGACCTGAGAGAACGTATATGAGAACGGTGCTCATAGCTTGGGGAATTCAGTTAAAAAAAAATAGCCGTCTCGTTTTTAGAAACCATAACTATCTCCATAACTACGCAAGAGGAGGAAGCGGAGCTGCTGTTCGTTAGCTCTCCATGGGACAAGGGGCCGACCAATCTTTTTCGATATGGTTCTCTGTATGTGCATCATACACAGCTCAAGTCTATCTTAATATATACAATAATTATAATCACAATTATATATATACATGTTCAGGATAAATATACATCCAACAAGAAACCCCAAAATAGCGTATACATAACTACAAAAGCGCAAAACCTCCCTCCCTTGAACCCCACCTCTCACACCGCAGCATACCCCCCTAAAGCCTCGCCCTCAAATGTCTCATAACCATCCTCAGCCTCTTCACCGCTGGCCCATCCTCCACCGCCCCACCGCCGCCGCCATCCTCCCTCCGCTCGATAATCTCCTTCCTCGCAGCCTCCACATAGGGCTTCAGGAATCCCCACACCGTATCCTGATACGTCCCGTCAACCTCCAACCACTCCGCCACGCCGGGCATTTCTCGCCAGTCCCACTCCCAGTCCTGACCATGTTGGTCATGTGGGTGTGATTGTTGTTGTTGTTGTTGTTGTTGTTGGATGGCGGTCAGTATGGAGTTGATATCTGGAATTAGACTGAGCTGGTTCGGGGGGAAGGATGGCGTTTGGGTTGTTGTAGTTGTAGTTGTCCCTGTCGTCGTTGGTGATGGGTTAGGTGAGGAGGAGGAGGAGGAGGAAGAGAAGGTTGACGGTGGTTGTAGCATGGAAGCGTCTAGCTCGAAGAGTTCGCTTTCTGGGGATTCGGGAGGTGTGAAGGTTGCTGGTTGGAAGGTTGGGGAGGAGAGGAGGGCGACGACTGCTTGGCCGTCTGTGGAGTGAGGTGTGTAGGAGGTGTGGTGGGATAGATCGCGGGTAGGGTTGTTGCGTTGGTTTTGACTATGATTGTGATTACGGGTGGTGGTGGTGGTGGTGGAGTTGTGCCAGGCAAAGTCGAAGGTGTCGTTGGGTAGGTGTTTTTCGAGAGACGCGGATGAGGAGGTGGTGGTTATAGCGGAGGGATCGAGGAGATCTACCGGCTCCTCTGTTCTAAACTTTCCCTTCCCCTTTCCGCTGGATACATCGTAGGGATGTAGAAGGAGGGCGTCACCGCCATTGCTGTCATTGATAATGTTATTCTGTGGAGGATCTTGGAACCGTTCCCAAGTTCTATAATCATCTTCATCATATAGGTTCGATGCCGCGGAGGGTGGTGCGGAGCGGAATGACTCTGAGGGAAACCTCCGGGCCTCACTAGCTCGACTTGACGGTTGGCCTAGGCTTAACCCGTGTGACTGAGGTATAGTACCCGGTGTTGAAGACCCGGATTGTAGCGGTACATGCGAGGATGAGCTCCCTTTGCCGGACGAGTCTAGTCCTGTAGCAAGGGTGGAGGCTATGTCGTGTGCGGCGGAGCGGGAGGAGGGCGCTGAAAAGGTGTTTTGTAGCAATCCCGATGCAGAATCTTGGATTCTACTTGTCATTGAAGATATTTGTGAAGCGGGCTCGGAGCCAGGAGAAGACGACGAGGACTGCGGCGTTTGTTCTTTCTCTCGCGAACCCGCTGGGACGATTGGTTCTGCCGCATCTGTTGGTGTGGGGGAGGGGTAGGAGTATTATTATCCATTGGTTTGATTTTCAAGAATTAAAATTTCTCTTCGGGGGTACGTTGTCTATTGAAAGGCATCATCTATCCGTATACCGTCAGATTAATGTTAGTTGACTGTCTGAATTTTGTCTGGCCGATGTCCTATATGTATGGAGGTAGGGCCCCTCAGGAATTGATGAAGAGGAGACAAACCTGAACAGTCAATGGAGATCGCGGGCGCTGAGTATACATAGAGCTTCATCTGTATTCCTTGAATAAATCCATAGCTATGATATCCAGTGGTGATCCATTTGGTATATGGTGAGGTAACTATTTAACAGTCGAGAAGATTTTCAATGGTGGCGGAGGAAAAAAGTCAGTATATAACTTATTTATTGATGCGCTTATTTATTTATATAACATGTGAAGGAACAAGCAAGTTAAGTTAACTATTTAGTTCCCCCCTTGGTAAGTTATTCACGTAACTAGTTATTTAGTTGATCAGTTATAGTTAAACAACCACCAGAAAGATGATCATCCTGAAAGCACCCTTAGCCAGGATTGAAATAAAAACAAGAAGAAATAGAGATCATCCAAGCCAGTCGATATATTTACTACGCAGTACAGCGGCGTAGAATCAAGACCAAACCAAACCGCAGCCAGGCGCTCCAAACCAAGTGGGATAACTAAGTTAACTAATAAATAAGAGAGGTATTTCCGTGTACCTCCCCCGCACCAAAAGCGCCGCCCGGTACCTGTGACGACACCCAGCAACCATTTTTTTTTTTTTTTTCCCTCTCGTTGGTTCGAACTCGCTTTTCTTTTCCCGCTTCGATCGCCAACTCAACTCTGTCTTGTCTCTTGTTCTTGTCTTTTGGCTGCGTTCTTAAATAACTAAGTTACTATAATACGCAAGTAACTAGTAACTTAACTTAAGTAACTGACTACCTACGCAGTAACTAACTAGGTCTTCCAACGTCCGTCTTCATCTTCTGCTTCTCTCCCATTGCTCTACTCTGCTCCAACAATCCATAGACCCATCTCTTTTTCCTTTTACTCTTCAGTTCGTGATTGCTCGCTCTAGTTAGCTCTCCCTGGCTTCTCCCCTCTTCTTCCCGATCCTCTTTACTTAAAGTTATCCATCCCACTACGGTCGCGACACCAGCCAGTTTACATTCGACCCGCTTAGTTACCCTCTCCTCTCCCAATCCCAGCCCAGGATCACCAGTAAGTAAATTTTATTGAAGAACTATATACCATCCTTCTCTCTCCTTGCTTGGTTAAATGCTATATGTTTGAGCCTGAGACCTTGCCCGCTGTATAAGGCTGGCTGGCGGCTTGCTTAGCGGTGTCTCTCTCTCTCTCTCTGTCTCTCTCTTCTCGCTCTCCTCTCTCTCTGTCTCTTGCCTGCCGGAATTTCTCCCACGTCAACAACCAACAATTCCCCAACTAAATATAACTCACCACAGCCCTCAACCACACAGCTCTCGTCTATAGACCGCAATCACTTCTTCTGCTTCAACGACCGCTACCTTTCCTTTCCGTCTCTTTTCTCGATAGCCTACGCTACGCCTATTCTCCGCTTATCTCCATCCCCTCCCTCTTCTCTCCGTTTGTCTTCCTCCCCCCGCCATTTCGTGCCAGCTATCCACCCTGGTCACCGTCCCTGCTCGCCCACGCCGCCCCGACATCTGCCAATCTCAACACGCTGAACCCCGCAGATAAGAACAGAGGGAAAATAATCACACAGGCCCCACGACCTGTCAGAGCTTTTGATTTTGCCCGTGTCACAGCCCATCACTTAGGGTTGTCGTTCTTAGAAAGATGGTAGACGGAGATCCAGGTTCACCTACCTGGAAGTTCACACAGTAAGCGCTCCATCCCCTCCAATTTTTTTCTCCTCCACATCATTCTACGCGACTGGAAAATACACACCACGCCACCTTACTCGTAGGCAGATGCCCAGCGGGTTCCATTAGCCTGGCCTTCCCCAGCCGGGATTTCTGCCCCTCGTTGCGTTCTGCTGAGAGCACTGGCGCGAATTTTGAAATGCTTTGCGAAACCCGTTTCTAACAGCTTCGAAACAGATGCTTCGGCGATAAGGGCGATGTGGAAGATATCACAGATGGTTTGAACCCTCTTCCATTTACTTAATATCATTCTTCACTTTCCCGTCCCTTCCAACTTTACATCCTGTTTGGGCCTAATATACTTTTGACGGCCTCCCAATATCCGCTACGGCCGGCGCTGATGAATCTTGCTTCCCTGCAGCTGATATCATATCCACGGTCGAGTTCGATCACACTGGAAATTACCTCGCAACGGGCGATAAAGGAGGACGAGTTGTATTATTTGAGAGAAACGAGACAGTATGCTATGCTTCTTAGGCTTTTTTTTTTTTTTTCACTCATGTCCTTGATAAGCATAAGAATCGCTAACTTCTCTCGACTAGAAAAAAACATGCGAATATAAATTCCATACCGAGTTCCAATCTCACGAGCCAGAATTCGATTACCTAAAATCTTTAGAGATTGAAGAGAAAATCAACAAAATAAAATGGTGCAGAAGGCAAAATGCATCCCATTACCTCCTTTCGACCAACGATAAGACAATAAAGCTTTGGAAGGTGTTTGATAAGTCGTTAAAGGTCGTTGCCGAAAATAACCTCTCCCATGATCTGACTCCGGCAGGCGCCGTGGCTGGAGGCGGCATGCCGCGCGCCCCGCACATTTCCTTCCGTGATGCGTCCTCTCTCAAGCTACCTCGCCTTACGCATCATGACACTGTAGTCGTTGCAGTTCCTCGACGTATCTACGCTAACGCCCACGCCTACCACATCAATAGCATATCGGTGAACAGTGACGGTGAAACGTTCATCAGCAGCGATGATCTTCGAATCAACCTGTGGAACTTGAATATCCAAGACCAAAGCTTCAATATCGTTGATATTAAGCCCGCGAATATGGAAGAACTAACAGAAGTTATTACAGCGGCGGAGTTCCACCCAACTAGTTGTAATTGGTTCATGTATGCCAGCTCCAAGGGAACTATCAAACTCGCAGATATGAGGCAGAGTGCTCTCTGCGATCAGCATCACAAACGTAAGCCTTTTTAAGCCCCTCAACCTCCCTGTTGTAAACTTTTTGCCTTAGTAGCACTCCTCACTTCCCACCTTCCGCCTGCTAACCTGAAATCTTCGCTTTGAATAGAATTTGAGCAAGAAGAAGATGCGTCCGCACGTTCATTCTTTTCCGAAATCATCTCTTCCATTTCTGATGTCCGCTTCTCGAATGATGGACGCTACATATTATCTCGCGACTATCTAACGGTCAAAATATGGGATGTCAACATGGAACGGCAACCTATAAAAACTATCCCGATCCACGAGCACCTCCGGCCCCGCCTATGCGATACGTATGAAAACGACAGCATCTTTGACAAATTCGAGGTAGTGTTCTCCGGCGATGCGGAGAATGTCATGACGGGTAGTTACAACAATAATTTCATGATCTATCCCTCTGATCCCAACAAGGAGACCGAAGTTGTTCTTCAGGCGGATAAGACTGCATTCAAAGCAAAGAAAGTTGGAGTACCGACTCCCATCAATTCTTCCGCGTCAACTAATAAGAAGGGCGGATCGAGGGCTGGTAGTCCTGCGGGTGCCGGTGGACGGATGAAGAAAGAAACGGACGCAGACCAGATTGATTTCAACAAGAAGATCTTACATATGAGTTGGCATCCTTTCGAGGATAGCATTGCGATCGCGGCTACTAACAATGTAAGCTGTAACTCTTCTTTTCTTCTTACTCCTCTGTCTGCCTTCTCATTCCATGTTCTATGTGTTACCCTTCTTGTTCTTCCAGCTTTTGTACCCACAGCCGCTAACATGTTCGTTTCAATAGCTATTCGTGTTCTCAGCTTTGTGAGTCCGAGGAGGTGAAAGAGGGAAAATGGAAAAAGCAAATTAATGAGAAAAGAGAAACAATGCTGGTAGTGCCGCTTCACCATGCTTTCTGCCCTTGATTATAATCTCCCGGTCCTGCAAAACCCCAATCATCCATCTCTCTATTGCATACACCTACTACTACTACTACCTTGTTCAGCAAAAAACCCCGCAGTCCAGTTTAATTCGTGCTATCAGGGTATTGGCAGCAGGCCTTCCGCCAGCAAAATACAATTTATTTCCTTTCCAGTCTTAAACTTTCCCTACCCCTCGCAGTCCCATCCATCTACTCTCTTCGTGTCATGTTACGCCCCATTTCTCCTCATCCCGCGTATGATTTTTTGTCTCTAATTGCCGCGAGGGAAGGAAAAGCAAACAACCATTTATAAACTAGGCCAGATAATTGCGTTGACTTACTGTCGTTGCAAGGGGGGGGGGGGGGGGAAGAAAAGGAGGAGAAAGGAGAGAAAACCAGTTGCTGTGTGTGATATGTATGGATGGTATAGAGGGTTTAGTAAAGGATCTGAAAGCTGTGTGTGTTTTTAGAAGTCCTCCCCCCTCCATCCCCCCTACCCCCTAAAAAATCCGTCCCACCTCCACCTCACCGTCCGCTACCTAGCACCCAGCCAGCCCTGTTGATGCCAAGCAAAAATGAGAATTGAGGATTGAAATGAAGATATTCTATCGGTTTTTTTTTTTCTTTCATCGTTTGTCGAGCCGCCCCCCCCCCCCTTCTCTCTCTCTGAATTACCATTCCTGTGCATGCATTATAGTTCTTTGTATTTCCTACTCAGTAGACTTCCCTGCTCTTCCTTCCCCACCCGGACCCGCCCCCTTTATTTAGTTCGCTGGGGAAAGGAGAAAGGGAGAGACGGGAAGTCAAGACGAATTGAATAATCACCAAGAAATACAGCGCAAGGACAGGGGGGGGGCCCGATATGGCGTGTTCGGCTTAGATTATAGACTATGGGAGGAGAACGAAAGGAGAGGGAAAAGCTTTTCATGCATACAGACGGTCTTTGTGCGGATTGGGGTGGGTAGTGGTCTCGAAGGAACGGGGAATGGAGAAGGATGGTTAGTAGTAGGGCGCTTGGGGATTTCTTTCTTTTTTTCTCCTGCTATTCTCGTTCTTTTTTCGCCTGCTTTCTTTTACGATTTGCTCTTTTTTTTCTCTTCCTCTTTTTGTTTTGCTTTGGTTATGTGGGGGGTTGTGAGTGGGTGAATTTTGTTTTCTTCTCACCCCCCCCCCTCTTTTTTTTTTTTTTTTTTTTTTTTTTTCATTGGGGTAAAACGGAAGGATAGATGAGGTGCCGTTTGTTTTGTTGGGGGGTATTTACTTTTTTCCTTTGAGTGCTTCCTTTTGTTTCCTTGTATTTCCCTCTTTGATATGCATATTTTATGTTGCGCTTGAGGGGAATTGGGGAAAAAACGTACGGACATGGCTCCGCCAGAAGAAAAGTCTCCATATAGCTAGGGGGAACAGGTTCTGTTATGTGACTAAACGGACACGGAAGGATCTTCCTTCGTGCGTTTCATATATTCATCAAAAATTTCGTGTGATCTCATCTCATCTAAACTTGGAATAACCCTTTTGCCATATGCAGTGATGGAATCTGGCCAGGCAGGTGGTAGCGATGTATTGAGCTGGTAAAACAGAGAACTGACACCTCCACATTCCCAAGTCCGCGCACTTCACGGACGCTTACTAGTCCAGCTCCCTAATGTACCATTTGCGCTTCGGCGAAGTCCTGAAGTTTACGGTGTTAGGCATCCCGTGGTTTTAAATTTTGGGTTGAATGGAATAGCAGTGAGAATTCCCGGGGGGGGTGGAGATAAAACAGGAACGCAACACAAAGAATATGACTTACCGGAAACTGATCTATAATGGCAGCTGCCACCCTTTCCACCTCCTCAGCCAAATTTTGGACGCCAGCATCCCAGACTCTTAAACTACGTCCCGCCGACTCTGCCCCGGGGCCAACACCGGGGATTCCTGACTCGAAATAAATCACACCTTTAATCTGATCGATACTACCTTTTAATCTGCCTTGCTCAAGCATGCGTGCAGCATATGCCTCTGCCCTCTCTCCAGCGCTCAAATCCCCGCTAGCCTCGAGCCCGAGAATGTTTCCTAATTCCTCCACGTGTATATTTTCATACAGTCGACTGGCAGCGAGGAGGTTATGTTCGATGACAGCTCGACCAAGCACGGTGGATCCATCTGCCGTTATAGCGAGTTGGTGAGGGACTAGCTTCTCCGCGAATGCCTTCACCTCCCCAGCTGTGAGCAGCCTGTCCATAAATATCTTCTCCAATATATTGTATATTCCGAGAGAAGATGATCGGTCGTCCTTGTATAAACGGGATAAAGTGCGGGAACGTTGGGGACCAGCTGGTCCGAGAACGGCGCATATAATGGCGGCAGAAAGAGCTTGGAGACGGTCTTCTTCCTCAATTTCCCCGGATAAACTCACATTGAGATATTGCTGGCTTGCATCGAGGAATCGGCGGTTAAAATCTGAAATGCGCGCCTGGGAGAGCTGGAAGTGAAGTTTCAGCTCCGGGTCTTCGATTTTGGTAGGCATGTTCTTGACTCTGTTTAAGAAGCTCTCTGCATTTGTCGTATCGTCGTCTTCTAGATATAGTCGTACGATACGAATCCATATGCGCACCTTCGCATCGTCGGACATGAGGTGCTGGGAACTGTCGAAACGGATTGCCTGTAAGACTCTGGCTGCTTGTGTAAAATCCTCTTCTGCCTCATACGCGTCTGCAAGAATTTCCCTCAGAACTGCATCCTGTGCTTCAGCAGAGGTTGAGTGGGATTGTATCTCGGATAGCGCATTTTGCCCAACCGCGATTATGACCTTGGCTGGTAGCTTTCGGAGAGAGTTGATGAAGTTATCAAGGAGGGGTCGGGCAGCAACGATTCCGACGGTGTCGCCGAGGATGGAGTTTAGGAAAGCGACGAGGTTGGGTTCAATGTTCGGAGAAGATGGGGATGATATTATTTTGGAGAGGAGTTCATTGTAAAGCTGTGGCTTATGCTGTTGATTTGTCGTTGCTTCAATATTAGCTAGGGCAGAGGTGACATGAGGCTCCGCCATTGCGGTGGGGTGGGGGATTGGTTCGTGAGCCGACGCTGGAAATGACGATCCTTTTATATTGGTTACCAAAAAGACGTAGAGGTATTGCGTGAAGAAGAAGGGAAAGTTAAGTCATGGAAGAATTGTTATGTAGATTACTAGCTCTTGCTGCGTTGACGTCTTTATCTGGAGAGAGTGGAGGAGCTGGACAGGGCTTAGTCAGCATGCCAGCTGCTGGTTGAATAAAATAGTTTATTTGTGATTAAACAGACAGTAGAACACTTACCAAAACTCCTTCTCACCAAAGAATTAAATATAGTGCAACACTTTGAAAACATGAGTTCTAGTGTATAAAAGGTAAATTACTGGATCACAAACTCTGGCGCAGTATTGCATATCAAAGCAGCAGCAATCCAACCAGCCAGTTTGTCGGGAAGTAGATTTGGGGTAATTGCCAGGCATATCCAATAGTCCAGAGCAGGAAATCAAGGTTACCCTCTCCAATATATGATTGCTAAAGCTGTACAGCTAAATCCTTGCTTGCAACCCTCTTGAAGGTTTATATCATGAAAATGAGAAGTGTTCACGCATCATTGACGAAGCCCTTCTACATGGCAATGGGATTAATGACTGTCCTAATGATGTGAGATGTGATGAAGCTGAATTAAATCACTAGCAATTGCATCTTTGTACCATCCTTATTTATACCTTTTTAGGCTATTTTGGCGTTTCGCTTCTTCAGTTGTAAATACACTTGCCCCTCGAGGCAACTACGAGGTAAATTAAGGTAGGTTTGGTCCGTGGGTAGTCGACGCGTCAGGCGTTTCGTCATCTGGACCGCCGTCAGTTTAAGTTAAGCTTAAAACTGACCCATCTGCCTAGTCCCGTTTAGACAACTCCTTTCTGATTTCAACAGCGTTATACATCCTTCCGATTTACACTCGAACCGCCCACAGGTCTAGTTGCCACCATATTTCATAGGGTTGGCATGCTGTGGATAGTCTGTATATGAATTTTTCAATAGCAAAACATTTATTGATTTGACAGCAACATGAATTTTTCTGTAAAATGATGTTCTTGAAGCAGTATGACAGCAAAGAGACATGGTTGATGTATGAAGCAGATTTGGAATATGATCTCATTCAGCTCAGAAGCAAGCTTAAAATTTGTGACAATCTACAAATTCAAGCTCAATAACTTTAAAATGTTAGCTATGTAATCTGTAGTGAGATGCTTATATCATTGACAGCTTCTCAGCAGTGAAGTGAAGATGCTCAAAAGAAGATGTGAAAATGTGCATACTCCTGTTTAGTGAGAATTGCTTCCCTCGATTAAGCTATAAAGCCATGTTCATGATTATGTGGGTATCAATAAGTGACTGTGTGATGAATGAGGCATCATAGATCACAAACAAACAATGGGGCTATCAACCCAATTAGTGTTGTGAGGTTTTTCCCTTGTGAAGCTCTTTGTAGCATGTCTGCTTGCTAGAGAGACATAAACCTCCAATACCTTTCAGGACTATGAGTGGTTTCAGTTACAGTGGGAGTCGCATATGTGCTCGATCTGAGTAAGTTATGGCCTCACCATACAAGCTGATTTCTTTTAACTAGAATATCCACTTTCCGTCTCCATTTTCCGTTGACCCAGAGAGTGGAGTTCCTACTCTTATTACATAGTGATAAACCGGTGGCGGAGCGAAACATCGCTTTGTAAGTGTTGCTCCGCTTCACGGTGTTTTCAAATGCCCGCAAAAAATGAAGGAATTCTTGCCGCGCCCAGAGCATATGGGTCTTCGAATATGTCGGGTTTAAACCCTAATGGGACGGCCTAACAAATTTCGAAGGGGTGGAGATGCCGAGTCGTCCGACTGAATGCTTGGAGAGCTAATTCTATGGGATTATTGAATGTAGCTTGATATATTAATGTAACATAAACTATTTATGAAGACATTAACCCCCAAAAATTTTTTCCTTAATATTCCTGGAGGCTAAGTTACATAAAGCAAGGTGGCCCCTTTTTTGCCAGCAGATCATTCTCAAACGCCATACCCTGTTACTCAATTCACTTCATTTAAGTGGTCGTTCTACCCGTCTAAACTACGTTCTCAAACGAAACGTTCGGGTCGTCCTCGTCCATATCAGTACCAACCCCTGAAGCAGTAGGTTCTCCCTCGGAATCGAAGTTGTAACCTGCTGTAGGCGGGAGCTCCTCCTTGGCATCTTTGTAGGCCAAGGCATCGGCGTAGTTACTCTCCCTGGCCTCTGGCTTAAGCTCCCATGTCATTGCAAAATCTCCGCTTTTGACAAGATGGGCCACCATTTCCAAGGTTTGTTTAAGGTAAGCCTCAGGCTGCCTGAGTTCTGCTTTGAGAGATTTAAACGGCCAGTACTTGTGTCGTCGGAAACAGCCATAGATAAGATCCAGAAGCTCGTTTTGGGGCATACGGGCCGTTTTGTTCTCTTGAGCGCGAGCCTTGGGAGGCTTTGCAACTTGCTAATCGAAGGGTTAGGAAAGGATAAGACCAAGGTGAATAGTTTGCTTGAAAGGGAGAAATGCGATGTGACTTACAATGAAAGTAGATTTATCGGCAGCTGCAACAGTCTTAGGTTTCAGCATCTCACCACTAACTTTACCAATATATATTGTTTCGCGTTTGGGTTTAAGAACGTCAAGTGCCCTAGCTTCAGCCATCCTCTGATACTCTTCATTTTCTACAGGAAGGCAGTTAAATTCGTCACGGACGCTACCGACGATGGCCGTTTGTTCTATATACCGGGTTAGAAAGATGGGGTAAACGTCTCATATAGACCTAACAGCGCTAGAAATAGATAAACCTACTTGGGATGGTTTTCCGAGTGTATGGCTCCCATTTTTTGCGATTGGTTCGTTTTCTAGAATCGCGTTTTGTCTGCTCATATAGATATGATCTTCCATGGGGCTGAGCCTCATTAAACAGTATATTGGTCCTATCCCGATATCCCGGTAGTTCTTTTTCGGTGAAGATGAATGTGTTCTGCACCGCAAAGGCCGATTTATCAGGGTTAACATTTTGTCGTCGCAGGTTGTAATCTTTCGGAACGCCTTTCATTTGAGGTGTATCATTAAGCCGCATGCTAACCTGTTAGAGCGGGATAAGTTAACACTTTTCATTCTTCTTCTTATTCCAAATTTTACTTTTGTAGTTGATTTTAGGGGATGAGACTGAGCTCGAAGCGCATACACGTTTGATGTCCGTAGGGCCGCCCTCCACCCTAATGGTCCCAATTTGCACTTCCTCATCATCTTCGAGCCTTGACCAATTCTCCCAAAGCATTTTCGGTATACGAGTCAACCAAACATCTTGCATTGAATTAGAAAAATCCAAATCCCCCGTGTCTTCGTAAATATCATCGTCAGATACTGCACCCGCGGGTTCAGGTCGAGCATCGGGGTCTGCCTTGATCATAGGGATCGGGCTTGGCTCTAGCTTAACTCGCTGCCCTCCAAGGCCGGGTCCTGAAGCCATGTGAAGGGTATATCCAGCGAGGAGTGCCTAATTTTGGTTCACGCGGAGCACCAAAATGGCAATGCGACAGCTTGTCCTCGCAGTGGCGGCGCGGTTAGCCTTCAGACGTTGCCGTATTTGCGCAGGGTTTATTGGTAATATCTCCGTAGGTATATTCAAGCTTTGTGACCTATTTGCTCCGTGAAGTTTTCAGCGGTCGAAGCCGGTCGGTTAAATGAGCTGAATGATTTTGAGTTAATATAACGAGGAAGACAAGAGCAAGTGATGCTGCTGAGTGACGAAATAGCATCCATGGATAATCCAAGGGATCCCTGAACAACATCACGTGATTTACTGGAGCCAGCAGGTGCCATCGTCATATTAGGCAAGGCGAAACTCGTTCAACTTTGCTTTAAATTCACTTCGCGTCAACATCCACTTTTCTTTTTAGTAGCACGGTGTATCTGAATCTACGAATATTGCGGCGACATTAGAGTCAACTTTGCCATGACAGAAGATCAAGATCTCTTGGCTAAAATTGGGCAGCTTGCCGGTAAGTGTTGCGTTCAAGTAGTCTCTTGATATTGGCTTCTGTTAATGAACATACGCTTCTCTACAGGGCAAATCAACCAGCATAAAAATCAGGCTACATCCTCAACACATCCATCCCGTGGTGGATATCATACATCTTACAGCTCGCACCACCCGCGACATCACGCGGGATGGGCTCCCTACCGTGGACGAGGTAGATATCCGGGCCCGAGACGGCATGCAGTTCCTCATCGAAATCGAACCCTTGTACTCAGCAACCAGTCTACGCCGCCGGAAAATGCGAGCGGCATCCCATCTGGCAACACGTCAACTGATGACATGAATGAAGGCGAATCTGGAAGCCAAAATGGATGGGTTGCCAAAAGGGACCGCCACATGCAACTAATAAATTCCGCAATATATGATAAAGAAGCTCAAGCCAGAACCAAAGCTATCGAGGAGAGCCGCAAGCTCAAAGCCCAGAAAAAGGCACAGCGAGAAGAAGCCAAGGTTTTAAGACATGTACAGGGCGTTGGCGGATACCATCCCGTCGCCACTCCAGTCGTTGGACAACGAGCAGCGTCCTACCAAATCACCATACAAGGCATACCGTTCCAAGTTGTGCAAGGCGGGAGCAAATTAATTCGGCTACCTAGTGAGACCAATACCCCTATAGATAGAAAGTTTGGAACCGACTTACCCTTCCTAGATGAACCGTCGGCTGCGAACGTTACTCCTAAGAAGGTGAACATTGGTGGGGTAAACTTTGTGAGAAGCAAGAAAGGAAACCTGCATCGTTTAGGATCGGTGGTTTCAAGAAAGTATGTACCTGGTCGGCGGAATTTCTCTGATACAATTCTCCTCGGCGGCGCCGTTAACATTTATTAATCGACAGAAAAACTGGAGCTGTGAAGAAAAAGAATGAACTCTGCAAAAGATTTACTTCGACGGGTACCCGACTCTCCCTCCGAAATACTCCACCACACCCACCATGATAATACTGATTGAGCATATGGGTTTAGATGGGGGAAGTGTGGTTTTTGGCATGCTGACTGGCGTATCCTTTTCTAGGTTCCTGCTTCAAAGGTCCGAATTGCACCTATATCCACGACCCGCATAAAGTTGCCATATGCAAAGAGTTCCTTCAGACAGGCAAATGTGTAGCTGGTTTGGCATGTGACCTCTCACATGAACCAAGCGCGGAAAGATCTCCCTCATGTTTGCATTTCCTTCGTGGGCGCTGCTCCAATCCATCATGCCGATATGCACACGTTCGAGTTAACCCAGGCGCACCTGTGTGTCGCGATTTCGCGATTTTGGGCTACTGTAGCAACGGAGAGACCTGTGACCAGCGACACGCCCACGAATGCCCTGACTATGCTAACACGGGGAATTGCGGCAACCGGAAGTGCCAGCTCCCTCACGTGGATCGGGCAGGCCAAATCCGCAAAATTGCAGCTAACAAGCCAGAAGCTACTGATGATGGAGACAGAACCGACGACGAAGATATCTCTAGCGATGAAGGAGCTTACGATGAAATTGATTCGGATGATGTTGACTCCGATGATCTTGACGATGACCCCGTCATTATCACCGAGGGAATCGACACAGGTGAAATTTCGCAGCAACAAGATTTCGTCCGTTTTTCCTAATATAGCACCTGAGAGCCGTGGTTAAAATTGTCCAATGCTTTTAACAGCTAAAACTGGGAACGAGATCTCCCTCGTACGTCCGCAAGGGTTATATTACTAGGAAGGAAATTACCGTAAGGCTCAATTCTTCCAGAAGCCATTGGCTTCCCCTTATCCCCCCTCCCCCCTTCTTTTACTCTACCTCAGAAACGCAACGACGGTCGGCGCTCTCTAGTAGAAGTGTAGAAATAATGATGCCAATTGGCGTATTTGGTCATTTTTCTAAACTTCTCTATCCAAGTTATCAGTGTCTACCGAACAATCATTCAGAGATGGAACTGTAGACATCTCTCTGCCTTTGGTCTTTGTTCTTTTACTTTTTTGTTTTGGTTTTTGACAACCCGAGTTTCATTTGATTCTTCTTTGGTTTTCCTCTTGTTTTGCATTTGCTTTGGGCGACGGGAATAGGAGATACCCTTGTTCTGCTTCCCCTATAGCTTTGCTTCCCCTATAGCTTTGGGGGATAAAATATTATGGCCCTCGGTGTAAGGCCCTCCCAGATGAAGTGGCTCGGATGGTGAAAGATAGCGAACAGAAAGAAATGGGAAGAAGATATTCTCGGCTCAAGGGTCTTATCTTTTGAGAAAAGAAATAAGGAATCCAACAAACCAACAACCAATTGAGTAAAACAATAATATAAAACGTGCACTCTATTCATGAATTGGATACTTTTCACATGCTCTTGAGAAGTGATCAGGGGTGGAAGCAGTATACACGCAGACACCTCACACCCACACCTGGATTATAATTGCCATCCGTGATAGGTTGGCAGCTGAGTGCAGGAGGCGAAGAGATGTCGTCGGAACTGAAATATTCTGGATATGCTTTGATTAACAGCTCACGATTCTTCTTCGCAAGGGGGTTATTAAAAATAAAATTGAAACGTACTAGGGAGGAAGAAGAGGAAGAAAATGGATTGAACAAGGGCAACACTAACGACAAGACAACAACACAGAACATGAGGGGCGCCTTCAAGTTCCCCGTCCCAATGGTTTTGTTAGTTCTATTTTGCTACATCTATATTTCTTTCGTCGTTGTTGTCGTCGGGCAGTAACTCGTGCATAGTGCATAATAGTCGATATGCAGCCAGCTATGGGTGTCGCGTTTTTGACTTTATGTATGAGTATATATGTATGTACATGTACTCTCTGTATAGTTTAAATATTTGTTGCTGTTGAACAATCCACGAACGAGTGATAGCTGGTCTGTTAGCTGCATTGTAGGTTTTGAAGGATTATAAAATGCTTCTATGATTGTTCTCCGTGTGGATGTGCTGATACAGGCGCATTCAGCTTCCTTTTGGGTGTAACCGACAGGAGGCAAGGAGTCTTCATATTCCTTGCATCAGAGCTTCCTTACTCTATTCATTCGACTCTTCACTCTGGTTAACTTAGGTGGTTCAAAATATTCAGATGAAGGGGACTTTGAGGTTGACCTTATCAAACTGAATTGTGATATATTCCTCCTATCTTTCTCTCCAGCTCTTAAAATTCTCAATACAAGCCACTTCTTTCTCATCATGCAATCCCTCCGACCCCTCCTTTAACAAGCCAAGCCGAAGGGGCCCGTCCTCCACTTAGAAGAGCGAGGTGACGTAAATAGACACCTTGAGGTGCATTACATTAAAAAGCAACCCAGGGACCCGGTACCTTGGTTCATGTCTGCGGGCGCAAAATGCAACGACGAAACAGTTCAACATAAACGAACATTCATGTGAGGTTTTGGGCCAGTTTGAGTAGCAATTATGGCCAACTCGACCGGCCCGCACATAATCTTTCCACTAAATGGATCCCAATATATATTGGTAGCATGCATGCTAGCTAGCTGGATGAATCAAGCGAGTCGGAAGGGCAGCCAGGCCGGCCTATTGCCACAGACCGCGTGTAGGCTGCTCGTTTGCTATTGAGTTGTTTAGCTTGTAACGGCGCGATGAAAGAAAAGGGAATATGGACCCCGTAAGTCTAACATGCGTTTTATTTGGATCAGGTGTATTGGCGATATTGGTTGTTCGGCGTTCACGGTGCGCCGACTTTGGTAATTGGGCAAGGCGTCGTGGTGGGCTGGTCTACTTCTTTGGTACTCCACTTCCTTCGCGGGGTGATTTCTTTCTCAGTTGGACGTGTTGGATTTTAATTCCAACGTTGCGTACCGGAGCTAAGTGCATGATGAGGAAATGGACGGGGCTGACATGCTAGAGGGATGGTGGAAAGTTGAAGGGGATGTGCAATGACATATTTCAATTCCCCCATGCGAAAAAGCTACATGTATACATCTACGGTACCTGACTTCAGAGTGTTGCTGATAGGTTCGCCTCACTAACTTTTACATAACAATCGTTTCGTTTATTCGGGGAATACGGACGTTAGTCAGCTTACATGTACAGTACATTACCTACATGCATATCGCCTGAAACATATGTATGAGCGTGGCCTCATTTCAGCCATGTTAAGCAGAATCTTCTAACATAGAGAGCCAAGGTTATGCTGGCGGATGTGGTGGTGGCGTTGTTGTTGAAATCGGCGACGGAGTGTGGTTGTAAATACCAGTATCGAGCCGTTCTCAGTTAACGTAGCCGATAAACCAGGTCGAGAGTGGAAGCGTCCTCCGTAGTTACATACAAAGTCAAAACCTATTATAAATTTCGGATATCTCTATCACGAATTATGAAACGTAGGTGACGCTATTTAAACAATGCAAACAGAAAATGTAGCACGGTAGAGTTGCACGCAGGAAAAATGCCCCGCTCATTGGGTGTCAGGATGCTAGGAAAGTGTCTTGAGGATTTACCGTATGAAATAGCATGGACAGGCGCCTTCCTGGTTATCAATATAGAAGCGGTAAACTCAACTATTTATTATCTTGGAGAGCACGGAAAGAGTTCGAAATTGGTATTAAGCTTAAGCACGTTCCTCCGTGAACCCCGATAATATTTTTTTTTATTAAAAAAAAAACCATGAAAGAATAACTACTCATCATAGAGGTATTATGGTCCCAATTATTGGATAGCGTTCGGGTACAGCGGCCACTTGGGCTAATTCGGCTTAGTAGGAATTCGCTTCCGGAAACTTAGGCGCCAAACGCGCCAATTTTGGACCCAACTCACAACTTTGTTTCAACGTAACTGTGGTTACTTTTTACTGACCATGATCCAGCCCGTTTGTTTAGCCAATGAGACTCAGTGATATGCCAAAACTGTGGCCTGATTACATCGTCTCTAATGCCGAGTCGACGAATTTGTGATGCTTACGGAGTCCAGATGAGACAAACTCTCGTGCAATGAGTTCTAAACTCGAAATGGAAGGGCTTGACGAGCCCTGGAGCCTCAGGCCCTAGTCAACATATTTGCAACCCCCAAATTCTCTGATGCTGGGTCAACGAGTGTTACGAAGTTTGCCACCGCAGTAACTCAGATCTATTTTGAGAAAGATCTCGAGAAATTAGCTCCCGAATTATACCGGCTCTTAGGCCCTCGGCGTTTTGAAAATTCTCTCTCCTTTACTCAATGGCGTACAACGACCAGGGTATGTTGGAGTGTTGCAGGAGAATGGTAGCATCCAACAAACCGAAGGCAACTGCTCTCGAAGCGAATTCCCCTCCCTCTGGGGCATGCTGATGGCAATAAGATGATCAGGGCCCGTCTTTCTTCTCTTCTCTCGAACGTAGGAGTTGGGAAAGAGAGTGGGATTTTTTAATTCTATTTTGAGAATCTGTGTGGGACATGTTACAAATTCTACTAATAATCAACACGATGTGGTGACATTTTAATGGTGTGTTCTCAAGGCATTACGCGGTTATATGGGCCTCTTAAACTGCACCCCCAAGAATAAATACCAGCTGTCTCAGGGGACATAGCCTGTGAGGGCGGGAGTAGAAGATGTCTCCATCCTTGACGAAATATGCCTCTCTAACGACCATCCATAAATCGCTGTACGCCTTCTCCCGCGACTCATTGCTATCCTGATCATGAAAAAGAACATGCAAAATGCTAGAATAGTGAGATGTCAGGAAAAAGAGGTTATACACTACTGAACGCCACCAACATCGTATTACTACAATATTTCTCATCATCATCAGCTTACTACAACGCTCGTCTAATACTCGCTTATGCTAGCTCTCTTGGCTCGCACATATATTTTACTATAAATAGCTCTATCTTTTGTATGAAATAGATATATTAGATAGTGCACGGATAATATAACAAGCAGATCTTGATACAGATAAGATTCATATGTCTTCAACATATTCATCCGTGACACCCAATCCGACATGAGACCACCCAGGTGTATTTTTACCCCACCAAGCCCCGCCATCTACCAATGGGCAACCACCTCCCAACTACCTCTCTCTCTATTCCTTCAGTCACAACACCCAACGCTGTTCAACCGTTAGGTTGGCAAAAAAAAAAAAAAACAAAAAAAAAAAAAAAAAAAAAAAAAAAAAAAAAAAAAAAAAAAAGGAAGCATATATCAAAAAAGCCCAAACCATCCCCTCCAAATCAACAACAAAACAAGGAAAAGATGAAGCCTGACTTGAACCATGATCCCAGCTTTGTCCTACTTCTTCTTCTTTTTCACTTGTCAGCAAATGGACCAGGCCAAATGGCACGCAGGATGCCAAGTTCGGCTAGATTAAATTATGCACCACGGCCCGTCCCTGGTCCCCCGCGTCCCCTGTCCGCCCCGCACCAGTCCCACTCACTCATCATCACAACCTGACCAGCTTGCATAGTTGTTGTTGTTGCTGCTGTTGCTTATTGTTTGCAGGATTTGTTTGTACCTGTCCCTCGTCGCGTCTTTTGTTTTCTCTGTCCGGGCGAGCGGGCCTATGATAAGGCAATGATTAGGTTATGTTATTCTGTTTTACATGATTTGATAGGATTGATAGGATTGAAGGGTGGGGGGGGCGGGGGTGTTGATTGTTCAGGCTCGCACGGACGGTGAGCGAGGGGTGGTGGGAAGTGGGATGAGAACCACCGAAGGAGGAAGGAAACATGAAATCAGAGCCAATACTTAATCAGGGTAGTAGTGAGTTTTTTATCTCTGGCTTTTGAATGGTTTTTTTTTTTTTTTTTTTTTTTTTTTTTTTTTTTTTTTTTTTTTTTTTTGGCCATGCCGCAATTTTGATCCATTGATGCCTTACTTACGCTTTCTAGCCTCATTGCCTGAGTTGTTACAAGGGGTTGGAATGGCTGGGTTTGTGTTGCTTGAAAGTGGTTTAGTTTGATGCAAGGGAAATCTTTAGCCCGTGATCGGTGGAAGGTTGCAGAATCTCGTTAGACGTTCCAATTACCCATTTACTTTTTCTCACAGGCCAGAATTGAGCGTGGGTAGTTAACTTAATTAATAAAGTTAACTTAAAACTTGGAAGAGTGGAACGAGAGAGGTACAGGCAGGGCCTGCAGATGAGATGCATGTAATGTATGTCATTCGCTTACACCGGAGTGGAAGGAGGCGGTGACTGCCTCAGGCTAGAAAATGTCAGGAATTCATCAACCTTTTTTTACTTCTCATGTTCCGAGGCGCCGTGGAGTCGCCACAGAAATGTATTGGCTATCAGTTCTTCTCGGTCCTTTACATTTATTTGCATGATTGGGCTTTGGAAATTGTTTGTCTGGTGCGTTTTGTTTTTGTTTTTGTTTCACTTCACGCCCGTCGAGTAAGTTGTTTTGTATCATGTCTTTTTTTGGTCCTTTTTACTCGAGGATAGATTAGTTCTGTGAAATATTTTAATTCAAACACTGCCCCTGTGACTATTATTTTGAGAGTGATTTTTTTTTTTTCTTTCGGTCTATTTCTTCCGCCGTGGCGGGGCTGAGAGAGAGAGGCTAGTGAGGCGACTCTTCATGGCGAGAAGCCAACTGAAAATAACTGGCTTAAACCCGTGGACTAGGTAGGTATCAATGACATCAGAAGGGGGTAGCCAGATGAAACGAGAATACAGCAAAGGTACTTCTATGCAGGGTACCCGATACGGCGGTTGACCATGCCTATTCTGTTGCAGTTGGGCTCCCTTTATTCCCTTGCTTCCCCTAACTAGGTGAACTCCACTTGATGTGATGTTGAGAAGGGGTGTTCCACCCAATTTCATGCTGTTCGCTAACTTTTGTTCATGCACGGGATGTTGATTGTACTCACGGCTTTTTCATCATCATCATCTTCTTCTTCTTCTTCATGTATGTATATACATTGTACATGTACATACTAACAACTCTCAATTATATCGTCCGCCGATCATCCACCCGAGGAAAGCAGGGTGAACTACAGCGTATGGATGAAGTATATTGGCTCCATCAGGTCTGGTCCCTTATAAGTTATAAAGGAGGTAACTTAAAGTAGACCGACAGTTTGACTCACTGTTTGAGCGACGACGGTGTGGGACCATTCTCCGTATCTCCGGGTATTTGCTTGAAAAGATCCGTCCGGAGACTTGGGCGTACCTGAAGGTACAGCGTAATACATACATACTTGATTGGGGGCTCGTCGATCCTGAGAGAGAGAGAGAGAGAGAGAGAGAGAGAGAGAGAGAGCGGTGGGTGGGGTGTTAAAAGAAAAAGAGGCGTATATACATACCCCTTCCCTCGGTATGGAATTACACCACCAGACCGAACTCGGTAAATAACTAAATAATATATATCTAGATATATACAGAGAGCCACAATTTCCCGCCCCTTTCGAGGGTTTAACCAGTAGGATCCATGAGGATGTCTGTTCATAAAGAAAAAGGAAGATCGGATAAAAAGGCAAGGCGGTATCATTTATCTATCTAGATCTCCTTAGCGGCCAAGGTCTCGGATGTCTGAGATGTGAGGCGTTCAGGCCGAAATGGATTCCCTCTCTCCCTCGCATTTACCTCGCCTCAGCCCGGTCATCGGCCCTTCATTATGATTGATGAGGTAGGGCTGTTCTTTTGGGTGGACTTCTGGGTCTTTGGGTGCGATCCGACTGGACTAGATCGTAGCTAGATGATAGTTAGACGATTGGTTGTTTGTTTTATCCAGTGACCAAGCAGAGGTCATGAATAATAATAATAATGGAGAGAGAAGCTTGGGAATGAATTCGATTGTTCAACTAGTTTGCTGAGTAAAGTATCGGGGTGCCTAGGCACCGCACTTGTAATATCTAACTTGAAGAAGAGTGGCAGGTGAGGTGGGGGGAAGAGAATAGGTTTATGTATTGGGATGAAGGGGCGTAGTTAGTAGTTAACTTATTAATTCATCACTCTTTTCTTTTCCGTCTTGTTTGTTATTTTCTTTTTCTTGCTTCCCCCGCACTTGGTTCAGATCTGGGTTGTAGATCGGGTCTTTGCTTTCCCACGCCTTTCTTTCCCTACTAGAGAAATAGAAATGTGAAGAGAGAGGATAGAGTCCATAATCCATCGGGAACTAGGCATCTGCTGTTTACATGGGACGATGGGGGAGAATAATGTACAGGAGATCGCGCGGCAGGGTGGAAGGGGGAGGAGACACGAGAAATAGTCACAAGGCAACACACATACTTCTTACGCTGCGTATATGGACAGGAACTCGGGTCCTTATGATCGTAAGACATGGAGGTGTTTAGTTGTGCTGGAAATACCAGCTAATAGGGAGTAAGACTGAAAGGGATCGTGATGACGGAGGCGTAGGCATTAGGAAAGGGGATTCCGCCTTGTGAAGCTACTCCATAGACCTATAAGCCGTGAAATAGATATTTGAAACAAGGAGGAAGAGGAGAGAACAAATGGGCCCTGGTGATGCCAGGGCGAAAACGGAGCGGCTTCGGTGATTAGATTTACCAGTAAATGCCAGAAGAATATGGAGGAGTGAGTAGAGAGTGATGCAGATTCTCAGGATAGAGATATCTGTTGCTGTTGTGATGGCAGCGACAGAAATCAGCGGGTGAGGTCATCATCGGGCGGTTCATTTCCTCGCATTCCACATTCCATCCATTCCAGGCAATATGAACATGAACATGAACATGAACATGGCTAGTTACTTACTGACTGACCCGCCAACCACCACGCCGCCGCATTCTACACAAGACAAACAGAGAAGAAGCCCGGAGACATTCTGTGGGGGGGGGGGGGGGGGAAATAGTATTCCGGCTTGTTGACAGTTGACAGTTGCCCTGTGCTGCTGGAAATGAAGAAAGATTATTTTTACTTTTTTCATCCCACAACAACCATCTCGCAAAATAGTGTTGATGGCTTTTCCACGACGCATTAAAAAAATAAGGGTGCCGAGGGCATGGTACGTGCATATTATTGTTCAATAATAATAATAATGTCCCAAGTACTCCATTCCATATAAGTAAGTACCTTCAGTAAGTCCTGAGATGTGTATCGGACTTACTGATGCAGAATAAGGATGGGAAATGAGAATAAGGACTGAGAGGTTCGATCATACCATCCATACCATACGATACGGTGGTGTGTTGTTGCCAGTCTGACATGACATCAGGACAAAAAAGGTACACACACATGTACACACATACATACAGACATAACTACATCATCATCATCATCATTATTATTATTATTACATGACAAGGGAACGCGAGAGAGCAGCAAGCATAAGACGAGCGAAACCAGAGAGGAAAGCCAGGAGTCCATCTTTTAGCTCCAGGCTTGAAATACAACTGACTGACTTGACTGGAACCTTTTTTTTTTTTATTTATTTAATAATTTCTGGCGCTGGAGTTCGTGGCAGCCACTCAACTCAGCGAGCCGGGTCCGCGTCCCCTGGCGCTGGATGCATGCTTGTTCAGGTCAGGGTCAGGTAAGTTTAACTAACTATTTAATAACTATTATTATTGCTCTGGCAGGCCAGTTGCAAGCAAGTCTCAAGATGCACGTCTACCCAATCCCAGGCAGAGCGACCAATCGTTTCCACGCGAAGAGCTCGAGATGGACGATAAGGCGTCGCCTTACTTTTTGGATCCCACACACGCCTATGCAGCATTTATTTTATGCTGGGGATCCATCCCATCCCTTATTAGACCCCGCGACCAACCTATCTTCACTGGAACCATTCATCGGTCCTGGGAACCAGAACAAACCACAGAACGTTCTGACAGGAATGTCTGTCTGGTCTTGTATTTATCCGGTTCATCAGAAAAGGAAATACATTAAAAAATTAAAAAATTAAAAAAAAAAAAAAAATCAACAAAAATAAAGGGACCAAAGCGACATGGGCCTTGAGTTACGTACGAGCTTTGATTTGATGATGGCTCTGACATGAATGTTGCCCTCTCGAATGGATGATTTTATTTTTCTGGTTCTCTCTGCCTATGCCTGAATTCTGATATGATACGTCGGGCTCAAGCATGCTCGATCATCGTTAAGGAATAGGCTTCTTCTCAAACCGATCCTTGACCGACTGGACGGGGAGAGAGGAAAGCTAGTGTTTTAGAGGATCTGCCCGCAGCCAGCAGGAATAACTAATAATGAAGTTCCCCCTGCGAACAAAAGTAGCGGCCTTAAAACCCGAACGGATTTTGGGGAAATATTATCCTCAGAGAAAGGAGCTGGAGAAGATTTTTTTTTTTTTATATTTATTATACCTACCCTCCTCCTCATGATCTTGTCTTTTCTTCAATCAAATTCTCCCTCTTCAACTATATCTTCCTGCACAGACAGCTGCAGACAGCTGCAGACCGCTAACTATATTATCTCCTACACCTACATATATTAGCATCAACCCGCCCTCGAACTCCTCATCCTCACTCTATATTATCTCTATTATACTATTGTTATTATTATTATCATCTTCCTTTTATTGTCTGATCGGCTGTTGAACCGGTTTGACAATTAATTTGTTGATAATACTAAAATACCATATAGCAGCACCGCAACCACCGCACCTCCCCGCACTGCTTGATCTCTCCCTCCTCCATCCAGGTCACACACACATAACTACACACTACTTAACTACTTAACTACTTAACTGCTTAACTGCTTAACTACTTAACTACTTAACTAGTTAACTACCGCTTCCCTTCCCTTCCCTTCCCTAGTTATATCTGCTGCTTATCCTCCCAACCCAACCCAACCACACCACACCGCCTCTTCTATTCCTCACAATCCCAACCACTTTTTCTTCCACACAAACAAACGTCTTTCCTCCCTCTTCTCCTCGAACTTCATCCCTTCTCGAAGAGGTCTTCTATTCGCAGCCTCTCTTCTTTATTTTGTCCTCATAACGACCTTTTACGACTTTTAACGACCCTGTTTTATTAACGCCGTGCTACTACTATTGTTTCTACCCCTCCTCCCCACTCTATTATTCTCCCCATCTCTCTTCATATACATCCACCTCCACAACCATGACGAGATATCAGGCTTCGTCGACATTCGAGTTCTATCACCAGTCACCCGCTCTCGATGCGAAACCTGTATTTTCCGGGGACGATGAGATGAGCGTCCTGGATGATAAAATTCTCGAATCCTCCACTTCAGATATCCCCTCCATGAACGACCCAAGACGGTCGTCCTTCGATCACACTTCAGAGGACTTCTCCCGAAGAAATTCAGTCTGGTCAGAATCCCAATCGCGGCATGCCTCTCAAATGTCTACTCCCCTCTTTGAGCCCGTAAACCCCTTTGCCCGAGTAGACACCTCACACCCAACCAGCTACGGCCAGCAACAACCATGGCCTCTCTCTGCCGATTCTGGTTCATGTACGCCCACCCCAATCTACGAACAATTCCCCCAGGACTACGATGGGAACTCCACCAACCCTTTTGCTGGTGGCGCAGTTGGTCCTGTTAACCCCATGTCCTTCTCCCATATGCAATATCGACCTGGGTCGACTTTCCCCGGTTCTTCTGCCACCCCAATGTCTCCCCAGTCCAGTCAGGGCTGGGTATCAGGGACGTCAGAGGCTACCGAGGCACGCTCAAAACCTAGTCGGAATAGCACATACCGGAATGGATCTCCGCTGCATTTGCGGAGAGACGGCATCCGGAAGAAGAACGCTCGTTTTGACATTCCCGCTGAGAGAACTCTCAGCAACATTGACCTGTTGATCAGTCAATGTACCGATGAGGATGAGATCAAAGAGTTGAAACAGCAAAAACGTCTGCTGAGAAACCGACAGGCAGCGTATGGACTCCTCCCTTTCCCTCTCACTCATTGTTCCCGTCTTATCCATCCATAGGCGGGATAATGTAATTCTTCCAACCCTAACAGAACGGAATCTCAGACTAACATTGTTATAGACTTGACTCCCGCCAACGGAAAAAGGTGCATACTGAACAGCTCGAGGAAGACAAGAAACGGTCTTCCACTCTTATCAACGAACTCGAAGAAGCTCTGCGGGAGATGAAACTCCGGGAGCAAGAGTACCATCGGGAAAAAGCGGAACTGTTCGAGCGTGAGCAGCAGTTGCGCACATATATTAACCAGCTCCACATGGAGAAGGAAGAGATGATTCGGTCCCACACACTTGAAACTGGTGAACTTCGCAAGAAAAACGCAATTCTTCGAGAACATCTGGAGAAAGTGGAGCTTGGTGCCCAGCCGGCTCCGAACTCGGCATTCCGGAACGAATTCTCTGATTACGAGAACATCACAATGGAGAATGCTCCTTGGGATGACTTCTCGATGGTGAACGAGTTCTCTCTTAACACCGAAAACCATGGTCTCATTCGCACGCCTACCCCTGTGCCTGACAACACTGTGCTTGTGACTTCCAAAAAGTCCGAGAAATCCTTGGACAAGCCCCCAGGCCATACCGATTCCTCTCCTTTCAGCTGGAACACATTTTATATGTGTTTACTTTTTGGTGCTTTTATTGCATCAAACAACAGCTCCATCTCACCCGCTCTTCCAGCCCTCTCCGAGGAGTACCGTGCGGAATCGGCAAACGTCTTGAGAGCTGTCCTCGCATCTGCTGATTCGTCCGATGCCGCTAATGCCCTCAACCCCGGGGCCCTTCCTGGCACATCCTCCTCCATCACTGCCAACCTTCCCACCACCATTACTGGGGCGGAAATGGCACAGATTACTGGCGGAGGGCCCTCTACATCAAATCTTGACGACTTGCATCGCAACCTTGTCGCCCCTACTAAGCAACAAGAGGAGGAACAAGTATTCTCTCTCACCACAGAGAGGTATAGGTCACTCACCACCTTGGAAGACGACGGAGGGGACTTCAAACCTCCTCCATCGAATTTCCAGCAAGCCTATGCAAATATGCGCAATGCTGGCATGCAGCATACGAAAAACGTTCCGGACATCTATTCACGGTCCCTATTGTGGGACAGGGTGCCAGAAAAGGTAGTTCAAGATTTTAGGAGGATGGTGAAGGAATGCAGCGCTTCCACCCCTATCAAGGATGAACAGGCCGGAGCCGTTTGCCAGTCATAATATCTTAAGGTACAAGACCTTGCATTCATTCCTTGCTGTGTCTCTTTCCCATGACGAATAGCAACGGACTTACCGTACGATGCCTTGAAGCATCCTACTCCGCTTGACGCGACCCGAAACAATTTCATTTGTTTTGACGGATTTCTGCCACTCTAAGTTCGACATGCATGTGTTTTTACCATCTAGCGGGTTCATGAACAGCATTTTGCAAGCAGGCCTTATGTTTGATTTTGATTTTTTGGTTGTTTTTTGTATCTATCCTCTCCGGTGATTTTCTCTGAGCAAAACGGCCAAAATGGGTTGGGAAAGCGCGCATATTTCGAAACAAATTTTCTCTTTCAATCTCTTCTTCTCTGAAACGACACCTACAGCACTAGATGCGACCGCAAGGCGAAAATTCAGGGGCGACTCATTTTCAGTTTTTTGCTTGCCTGATTTACCTCCACGTGGGCGACCATAACGAAACCAAACTAAACTACAGACGACATACCGTTCACACGGGCGGCAACAGACGACGAACGAACGCGGCACTTCTGCATATTTCCTATGTACGCCCTGCATGTTACAATCCAACTATATACACTGCACCTTGCAATCTCCTTTGTCCCAATCGCACTTTCTTCTTATTTTGCGTCTTTGCAAAGACGTGTCCGTCCAACACGGCAGAATATTCCTTCAACCCAGAAAAAACAACAGCATGCACCAGGCCAACCTACCACAAGAAGATTTGCTCTCTTTACAATACTCAACGGCGCTTGACCAGCAACTCCCTTTCCTTTGTGGACTCTTATTTGAATTTTTCTATATATGCACACTGTACAACTTTTGGTTTTACTCCGTCGCTGGCAACGGTGAGAAAGAACGCTCTCCCTTCGTTGGCTTCAACCCCTGACCAACTGGATCCCACGGATAGGGTAGATCAGCGAGTGGATTGCGCGCGGGCTTGTGATTTTGGGCCGTCCTTCGAAATTTTGTGTTGCGTGTACCCCGTATTTAGCGTCTTGTTTTGCGATTTTCTTTTCTGGGAGACAACTTCCAAGCATTTTTTGGCTCCTTGTTATTTGATAATTTGTTTTGTAATATGTTTAGCTCTCTAACCGCTTCTTGTTTTCCATTTTTCTTGATTATGTGTGTTTCTATTTTTGTTACGTTGCTTATTTGCCTTGCTTTTGTTGATAGCTCTTTTGCGTTCTGTGCCTTTTTTGTTAATTTTTTCAAGCTCAAATATTTCTAGCGATTGCGCATGGTTCCCTGTCTCTCCTCTCCCCTTTCTGCCCTGGGTTTTTCATGACCCAATCCTGTCCCAACTTTGCTCTATGTGCTCGTGGAAATGAGTACTTGCGGGCCATTTTCTGTTGATTTGCCTTCCTGTTTAATTCTGACGTGCTTATGATTATGATTTCTATGACAATGGCCATTTCTTTTAGGGCCTAGGCGAAGTGAAGCAAGTGGGAACTCCATCTCCCACGCGAACGCTTATCACTATGCTCTCCTTTTGTTTTTATTCACCCTTTGTTAATTTTCAAAGTTTGCACTCTCTCCGCTCATTTGACCGGATCCAGCCGAGCCAATCATTTGTTGATGATCTACGCATATTATCATTCTGGGCTACTTGAGAGCTCCTACCAGAAACAACTTACCTTCTTTGGATATATTTTTTTAAAGATTTCTTCTAATTATAATCAAATCATGGAATTGATTTCATTTGCATTTCTGGGACAATATAATTTCATATAACTATCAAATAACTAAAGCGATTGTAGAAAGGATGGTAACCAGACCGAAAATAAATGGCGTCTTAACGAAGCCAGTTTGCTTGTTTCAAGCAATTAAATTCGAATCGAAATAATGAAAATTCATAGGCCGAAAAAAAATGGATAATTAAACCCTTAAACGTTACACGGGAACGGGAAAGTGTTTACTGCTTTGGATTATACTTATCCTTCCATATCCTATCAGTAACAACAAGAAAGTTAGCGAAAGTCTGGAAAGGAAGGAAACCAGCTCCAGCGTTAAGTAAGAGGATGATTGGTTGGCGGATTTAGCTCCCGTCTTTCTGGTGCTTGGAGCCTGAGGAAAACAAGAGGGGATGTGTTGGGGGGGGGGGGGGGTGTGGGTGAGGGTGTGGGCTATTTTTAGCTCAAGCGCTGCTGGCCTATCATGCCCATCTTGACACTTGCGGTTTGAAACACACAAGACTCCCTCTCCCTCTCCCCCCCCCCCTCCTAACAGCAGCGAACGCACTGTCACGTCATGCAAAGTGATGTCAAGGACCAAGCTCAAGCAAGTAAGCCGAAGCCCGGAAGCAACTAGGCAACGCAGGGCAAAACCATTGCAGCTGTCTGTTCGCGAGCTGAATTGCTTGCTAGCTTGAATTGATTAAGTTGATTGGATTGCTTTGCTTTGCTTGGGCTGGCTCTGGTGCCCCCCGGCCCCGTGCAGGCGGGACCTTGTTTTGGGAGGGGAGGTTTGTGATGAGAGAAAATGTAACGGAAGGGGTGGATACGAATGGGTCCAATGTTGTGAGGAGAAGGCGGGGAAAACGGGGTGAAGAAACGGAACGAAAACAAAAAATTATCTCTGGTGGTTGAGGGGGGCCGGAGGAGAACTAACCAAGTATTTCCAAGGGTCTTGTTGCCGTTCTCTTCAGCAAGGCGGTAGTATTGTGCGGCCTTATACTAAAAATTAAAAAAAGGGTTAGTCTTGGTTCCATTCATAGCTCTTGTTTGTATTCTGCAAGGGCGGCCATGTAACAAATTCAAGAAGCGGACTTAGAAGGACAGAAGGTGGAGATGGAGGGGGGAAGCAGGAGAATGGCGAATGGGAAAAGATGACAAAGGCGAGCTTGGGAGAGTTGGATGCCCAAAGGCCAAGGGGAAAAAGTGAGGGAGGGGAAAATTAGACGCATTGCTGCCCAACCGTGATCCGATTGTGATCGTGAAATCTGCATCCGGAGCTCTGTTTGGTAGAAGCTTCTTTTTTCTTGGGCGCGCTATGCAAGGCACACTGAGCCAGTGGGTGGAGCGTGAACGCAAGATGGATTCAGCCTCAACAGGTTTCTCAGTCTGGGCTGTTTGAATGGGGTTGAATGGTTATGATATTCAGATCCCCCTTGTAACCAACCATCTCGACAGCGGAATGAAAATTTTAGAGGAATGAAATTCGAGAAAGAAAACGCTCGTGCGACGAATAGGAATTCGTCTCTCTCTTCGTTATTTTGACCTACCCTATCTTTTTTCCCTCCAAATCCTTCCAAGAAACACCAGGCTGCCTCATTCATGGCATCCGTATCTCCTAGATTCGCTGCAGTCTCGTAATAATGTCTGGCTGCGACGGGATCTTTGGCTACTCCCCAACCATTACGGAAACAATTGGCCAATTCATACATGGCAAGCACCAACTCGCCCTTAGCAGCGCCTCCTTTCTTCATACCCGCACGCAGAGCTTCAGCCTCGATCGAGGCAGAGTTGGATGCCGCAGCGGATAGGTAGGTGATGGCTTTGTCAGGATCGGGTGTGCATCCCCATCCATGTCTGTATCATACGGTCAGAGATTGTTCTTTTAGTTTCATCGTGGAGGCAAGCGAACAAACCGGAGAGCGAGGCCATAGAGTACTTGGCTCAATGGATTATTTGCACCATTGGGATCAGCCAGTCTGCCGAACATCTGAGTTGATTCCACGAGCTCTGTCCCAAAGAAAAGAGATCAAAAATAAGCCAATGAATCAATCCACCTCGCCGTTTTGCCCAAACACTCATCCTTTGTACATAATGGGAGTAGCTTAAAACTTACGTCCATTTTCATGTAGTCGAATCGCTTCTTGGATATTCTCCTATAGCATTTGTAGCCAGTTAGTAACCGGGGCATATCTCTACGAGATAACAAACTAATAGCAATATTCCTTCCCACGATATCATAAAAGTAAGGATCCGGACATACATCACCCTCTTTCTGCTGCTCAATAACCCCTCTCGGGCTAGGAGGTGGCATGCCAGCAGCTGCATTCAAGCCACCCTGTACCATTATCGTCGCTCTCTTCTCCCACTGAGCCTCACGCTCCTGCGCATCGCCCGTGTCCGGCGCGATTTGTGGGAGATTCGCTGGAAGATTGACAGAGGAGGTGCTAGTGGAGCGCGAAGAACGGTTCAGGTGCAGGCGCTGGGAAAGACGGCGCTCGCCCTTCTCGCCGCGCGAGGGTGATAACTCATGGCCGGGCGAGTGCTCGCGGCTCCCGGCGGAAGAGGCATTGGAGAAGCGGCGCAAGCGGGAGAAAGGACTTTGCGACGATGTGGAGGGGTTTGAAAGTGGAGGGGATTGCGATTGCGATTGCGATTGAGCCTGGGACTCGGGGTGCGAGTGGTGTTGGGCCCCGGGGGGTTGGATAGGTTCGGTTGTGAATGTGTCTGAGCGGAAGAATTTAAATTCGGGAGGAGGAGAAAGAGGCGGAGGAGAGAAAGCTTCTTGCTGGTAATAGCGCTGTTGCTGGCGCTGCTGTTGCTGAGGGTGTTGGGAGTCGTCGTCTTTTATTTTTTTGTCTTTCTTCTTGAGAAGGTCTTTGAGCGTCATGGCGTCGTTGTTCTTTGCTTTTTCTGTTCTGTGGTGGGCCAACTGTATGCGCACCGTGGAGATAGATGTCAGGGATAAGCTTTAACAAATACACAGATAGCGGGGGAAATTATATCTTCATTCGGTATGTTTGAAAAGGGAGTAGAATCTCCCGCAAGAAAGTCTTTATTTGCCTCAAGCTGGCGATTGTGGCTGTTGTGTAGACTATTTATGAAGAAACTAACAATGCGATCGAGCTGAACAAAAAAAGCCCTGGGTTGGTCTTCCATGTCGCAAACCGGCCAGAGCCGAGCATTGCTGAACATTACTGGGATATAAATCTAGAGCTTTTTGAAAAGAGTTGTTCTTCAGTTTGCTGCCGGGATACAGGAATGCCAAATAGCTAGTAACTGTATTATTTAATGAACCGAATTATATGATTTCTTGACTCTACTCTCCCAGCAGGGTTCTTTCATTATTACACAATCCACAAATATCTGGCCATAAATGCTCTAAAGGAAAAAGGTCACAGTCCCTGGGCCAATATATCACTTCCCATCCCCTTCATCATCGATATAGAAACTCAATAAAATTTCCCCATCCTAGCTCACCAGGAGTCACCGAATCGAGAGACGAGGAAATCATTGCACTTGCGTATCACTAAGATCACTACTGGGTTAGGATAGGCGTTGGGTCAGGAGACAGCCGGACCAAATCTCGAGCTATTGAGAACCCCAAGCGACTCCCAACCAGGCCTCATTTTCCTCGACTCAGTGACCAAGTAGAGGCAGTTAACACAATTTTTTGTGGTGTCCACGAAGTCCATTTCCCAATTCAACCCATATTGAATTGAATTTTCAACCCTGTGATGATCCTTGACCCGACAATGTTGCGTATAAAAGAAGCAAGGGCGGTTTTTCAACTTCTAGCTCGCTTTTCAAAGCGCTCACATCAACTCCTAGTTTGCAAGTTATCAAGGATATCCTCAAATGACTATCACAAATTGACCCTATATCCGTTCCTGTACTCATATTTGCACACCATAGTCATCCTCCCAACCAATCAATATCGCCAAACCAAGCTCCAGCAAAGCCGCAGGATCGAACATATCAACCTTCCTTGAATTGGTCCAACAGTCGCTATCGAAGGAATTTTGACAACCGAAAATGTTACGCAGTAGAATCAATCTCTTTCATATGGAGCTGGTCAGCAACAAATACGATGTGCTCGTCGAGATGGGCCGGGTGGGCGGCGGCTTCAATGCAGGCATCGCCATCGTTAGGCGTAGATCAGACCGACTAATTTGTGTTCGCAAGCGACTCGTCCTCGGCCAGCTATCGACGCCGCGCCACTGGAATCGAGAGGCAGCCCTCATGCGTAAACTGCGAGGACATCGGAACATCTGCGGCATCATCGAAGCTGACATCGGGCCGGAGAAGGGCGAATTATACCTCGAGTATTGCAAAATGGGCACCCTGCACGATTTCATAAAATACATGAAAGGCACCAACCTCGCTGTTCCTGAGCCATTCGTGTGGCACGTGCTGTATGGCTTAGTCGCAGCATTGTGCTGGATGCATGATGGCATTCTCAATCCATCCAACATCCGCCGACCCAGCCAAGGACGCATGACAGGCTGGATGCCTGTCATACACAGGGATATTAAACCGGATAATTGTTTTCTCCAAACCAACACATCCCACAGGACCATATATCCAACGGTTAAGTTGGGTGATTTCGGCCTCGCTATCAACAAGGAGGACATCAATAACTTGAGTTCTACCAGCAGGGCAGTGTGCGCCCCAGGTTGGTTCCCCCCGGAGTACCCTCTATGTGGTGAACGTAGCGATGTCTACCGTACTGCGGCGATAGCCCAGTTGTTGTGCCTGCCTCACTGGGCCCTTGGCATTGGTGCGCAAATATCATCACCTTACAGTTCAGAACTGGCTACTTGTATTCGTACCGGAATGAGCGGAAATATCCACGAGCGTCCTTTTGCTTTGGAGTTTGCTAGGTTCATAGACAGCCGGACACCTTGCCTCGCGCAAATTCCGGTTCCCAGTGGCGCGTTCAGGGTTCGTGAATTGTAGCTTTTCTGTGTACCGTCAGCAGGAAATACGTATGTGCAAGGGGATGGTGTTTCAGTCATCATTCAATTCGTTATTTCAATTGGTAAGCAAGCATGCAGAAAGTGAAATTCGCAAGTACTATACAACGATTTTCAATGGCAAAAAACAATGGTTTATATTCTTGGATTTTTGTACACGGAAGTTGAAAGGAAGCTAGCTCTAGGTCAGATAAATTGTCCAAGATTTACTAGGGCTTCGCAGAAACGATTCCTACAGGTTATGCATTAGCAACTTATCCCATCGGATGGTTCTTGAAATGGCGAGTTTCTATTTAGTTGTTTTTGTTCCTTCGCTAAATAAAGGGAAACTCACTCTCAACATCCGCCACACTTTGTTGCAAAATTTGTTGAAGAACCTTGGGGTTCTCCAATTCCTTCTGGATCTTGCTGATGACGGTCTGGGCCAATTCGTGCTGTTGGCGGACCTTGACCTGTCCCTCGTACTGTACCCACGAGTCGAGGACCTTCTTAGCCTCAGCGGCGAGAGCAGTGCGCTGCTCCATTTCATAGGCCTGAGCCTCCAATCGGGCGGTTTCCTATAATTATCGAATTGTCAGAAACCCAACAATTAACATGTTCCTTACTTGCTACGCAAAGGATATTCCACATACCTTGGACACCTCAAAAAGGTTCTTGGTGATCTCAACAACGCCGCTCAATTGCTTGACATTCTCAATTCTCTCTTTAACCGCATTGGTGTGGTTTGTTCTGGCACCGTTGAGGATATCCTTCTGTTTTTGGATCTGGGTTTCAGCCCATTCTTTATACATGGGGCCAGCCATCTTAGCTACAGCAGTAAAGACACTGAGGAGACAGAATGCAGCCACAGTCTCTTCATTGAAAACATAAAGCTCATTGCTGATCGCGGCAATGGAGAGACCAGCACCAGCAGAAAGGATGGCAGTTTTGGACACTAAGCTATTGCCTGGCAGGGCATCAATTATGGACTGGGCCTTAGTTTTGGGGTCTTCGGTGGGCACATTGGAAGCCGAGCGCGTAGATGTGAAGGAGGTTGAGGCCGCTGGGATGGTTCGGGAGGTGATGACCGGACGGACACGGGCGGCCGCGCCTGGGATCAATCAATTAGCCGTGGCTCCAATTCAGCATAGTGGGGGCGCAGCAACATACCAATGGCGCTCTTTGCCAATCTCGAAGCCATTGCGGTAGGAGGAAGAGTGAGCAGCGAGGGAGTGGTGTGGTGGTGATGATATTGGGGGTTTGTTGCAGTCTAATACCAGCCAAGTCAAGTTTGGTGAAGAGGCTCGGGTGGGAGGTGGCGCTAAGCCAATTCGGCACTAGTGGGGGTGTGTTTTCCGAGTTTGGATCGAAGAAATATATTAAATGAACTTAAAACTTTGATAGACAGAAGAGAGGACAGGAGAAGAAGTCGGATGTCTACAAGTTACGGTATATAAGTCTGCTCTGTTAAGAAATTCTTCACATACCAGCCAGCATGCCCGGCCTGCTTGATGGAGTGCACAACTCCAAAAAAAGGAAGAAGGATGCTTCGGAACGCAAACCGCAATCGTCCAAGCGGAGAGCTGTAGCGGACGACAATGAGGATAAAAACAGGATACAGCAGTTGGAGGACCAGATAGCAGAGTCCCGAAAGTACTATAACAACATTGTCACCTTGATATCCCTCTTTATCACCGAAGACTCTACAAAGTCACCCAATCTCACTGTTGCCCTTTCACTCTGCAGGGTCTTCTGCCGACTGTTGGCAGGAGGCCAGTTCAACAAACCCAAAGGCGCAAGTGAGCAGGACTTGATACTGGTTGCATGGCTGAAAGAAAGATATCAAGAGTATCAACAGGGTTTGATTAATGTTCTCAAAAAGGCAGAGCCAACAGCTCAAGTATGGACTCTACCCTCTCTTCAATTCATTCGGAAAATGTGCGCCTAACGAATTTCTGCATTAGATTGCGGCCCTCTCCCTTTGCATGCGCTTGATCAAAGAACAGTCCATCAATGGAGGAGCTGGAGCTGATGTGGGAGTGTGGAAGGGGGGCTACTTCAACGACCTGGTTATAGCTCTCATCGAGGCCCAAGATGGAGAGCGTGTGCGGTCGGAATTCATCGAGAACTTTCTGACCAAGTACCATGATGTTGCTTTTTATACCCTTCTTCGGCTCTCGTAAGTTTCGCACTTCTTTCTTCTTGCTACGTGCGGTTTTCACTAACTACTATTATAGCAATTTTGCATCAACCAATAAATCTCCCGAGTCAATAGAAGTTGTCATATCCCTCTTATCCGCCCTAGGCCAACCGCCACCGCCAAACCACGAGTTCGAGAGTTTCTACACCGACCTATCAAGTGTCGGTCAAAAACACAAAGCTACCCTTCTCTCTGTTTCTTCGTACAAGCAACGCGTCCAAGCTGCTTGGCTCAGCGTTCTACGGAGTAATACTCTAAACGAACAGCAAAGAAAGACTCTCCTCCGCCTAATGTCCCGCCTTATAGCCCCATGGTTCCTCAAACCGGAGATGCTCATGGACTTCCTAACGGATTCTTACGACCAGGGAGGATCAACATCCCTCCTCGCCCTCTCAGGCCTCTTCTACCTAATCCAAGAAAAGAATCTCGACTACCCACAATTCTACCAGAAACTCTATTCTCTCCTAGATGCCGACCTCCTCCATTCAAAACACCGTTCTCGCTTCTTCCGCCTCCTCGACACCTTCCTGTCCTCCTCCCATCTCCCCGCAACCCTTGTCGCAAGTTTCATAAAGCGGCTATCCCGGCTCGCGCTCAACGCGCCCCCGGCTGCCATAGTCGTCATCGTTCCCTGGATCTACAACCTCCTGAAGTCCCACCCAACATGTACCTTCATGTTGCACCGCGTGATCCGCGATGAGGCCTCACAATCCAAATTGCAATCGCACGGCATGACCGACCCCTTCGATCCTACGGAGCCAGACCCAACCCGCACCGGCGCTCTAGAAAGCAGTCTGTGGGAAATCGAGACTCTGCAGTCACATTACCATCCCAATGTGGCATCGCTTTCGAAGATCATCTCAGAGCAGTTTACGAAGCAGGCGTATAACTTGGAAGATTTCTTGGATCATTCGTATCAAGGGATGGTTGGGATGGAGCTAGGGAAGGAGGAAAAGGAGTTCCGAAAGGCTCCTGTGGTAGAGTTTCAGATTCCGAAGAGAATTTTTACGGATAGGTTGCTGGAGGAGGATGGGGGAGTGGACAAGGAAGTAGGGGCGTTGGTAAGAGGCTTGTGGGATTTTACGTAAGGCTGAAGATGGCCCTCACACACACACATACACACACAGAGATATATATATATATATATATATATGTACCTATTTGGATGTAAAGAATAGAGAGCCCAAAACTCACAACCAAGTGACTACGGGGATATTTAACCTTTTATTCTTCAACTTCAGAGTTACACACATCCTTCCCTTCTAATCTTTGAGCATAAGTGCAGAGAGCGGAATAAAAGGGAAATGGTTCAATTTAGAGATTGTTGGATCCCTTGTTCATTAAAACAAACGAAGAACTCCCGTGTATCACAGTCTGAGCGCCTGCGCATATGAACCCAAAACGGAAAGAGGATGCAGGATGAAAAAGGAAAGGAAAAGGAAAAGAGAAATAGCCAAACTAAACGAGTGGAGTGACTCTTGCCATCAAATCAAACCCCTGGAAAAAGATAGAGAAAGAAACCTTGTATGTATCCCTAAACCACGACACAAAACACCGACCCAAAGTCCCAAAGCTTCGTTCAAATCCATGTAAGTCTTTAATGAATTTTACGTGATTATGTCAATGCCCATATCCGAGAGGACGCTTGCTGACCACTCCCCCGTCGTCGCAGATGCATCAGAAGGAGTTAGCTCCAACGGGTCCGGTTCTTCAACTACCATTCCCAGATCCTCCGCAGCAGCCCGCTCAAGTGCAGACTGGAAATCTCCACTAAACCCAGGGCGAAAGACCAGGTGCGGATCTGCGCGAATATATTCTCGCGCCTGCGGTCGTCTTTGACTGTGCATATCACGCTCCTCTGCCTCCGGGTCCCCCGGGTGGTAATTGCCGCTCGGATCGACGACGAAAATAGCTCGCTTGAGATCATCGAATAATTCATCGGATATATCAACTGGTATAGCTTCGATCCTAACCCGCAAATCCTCCATGATTGCTCTTACATACCGGTCCCTTAGGTTTCGGTACGCAATCGTTTCTTGCTCCATCAATTGCCAGCATTGGATGATTTGCGCTTCTGTTGTTGCCATCTTGATATTCTCTGCGGCTCTGTAAGTGATGTTGAAAAGTTCCTTAGCGACGGATTGGAAAACCTTGTCGACTTTCGGCGCAGCGCTGGCAATCGTGGTGCAAATGACTTTGGCGAGTTCTGGGGAATATATTCGTTGCCAAAAGGTGACCCAGCTGCTCATGCCGATTCTTGATTTCCGCATCCGCGTCAATTCCAAGGAGAGAAGAGCGGTGTGGCAATTATTAAGGATATCTTTTGCGTCTTCGCGGGCCTCGAGGACGGATGGTGGTACGGACACGGACTTAGCAGGAGGGGGTGAACTGTCGCCAATGTCGATGGCGGAATCCGCTGGTGAAGCTGGTCGGCACTGGACGGGTTCATATTCTTCTTTGGAGCGAGAATAAACTACCTCGACACCGGGGGGGGAACTAAGGCCCTGTTTTGAGGCGGTGTTTTGTAGCCATTCAAGGAGGTGATAGGGCGTCGTAGTCCCTGCATTATTGCATTCCCGTTGGTGATATCGATAATGCATGTGGCAACGAGAAACAAGTAACGAAGGACAGAAAGAAAGAAGCGAACGAAGAACCACGCAACAAAAGCAGAGGAAACTATAATGAATCTGAACGCAAGCAAAAAGCTTAAAGGGAGGCCCATAAGTAAACTATGTACAGATATCTCAATAACTTCAAACGAGTGGATGGCATAACTTGACGGATGAGAGCAATAGATAAAACCACAAAGGATTCAGTCTCAGCGAGTCAAGAAGTAGGCAAATAGTTAAATAGACGCCGTAAGCCAACCCAGGGTTTGTTTTGGCAGGGCGATTTGTCCGCAGCGGAAGGAGGATTGGCCCCAAGCCAGCCCAGCCCGGCCCCTGAATCAAGGGAAAGCGCAATTCCAGACGTAGCAGGGAGTAAGGGAGGGAAAACTGCGTAAAAATAGTATATTGGAACTCTTATCTCCTGGATTTTCAATGTCTTTCAATGTTTCTATTTCCATTGAATCCTGTTGATTCTCTCTCCCATGTGAGTGCTGCGTGAATGGTGACGTCAGTAACAATCTCACTGTGTACGTACTGCGTAGTAGATATCAAATTATACGAGGCCTGGGCTTCTAGAATGGCAGAAGTGGTAAGTTAGACAGCCAGCAAGAAATGAGAGACAGAAAACTGAAACGGTGCAAGAAACAAAGTAAGGAAGTATTAATTTGCGAGCAGCGTAAAGACCTCTAGAATAATCGTTCTACCCCATTTTGCTTCTGTTCAAAAAGGGCATCTATCTCCCTGCTCGCCCTGTATTGAAGTTGGCATTTGCGCCTGTGAAGGAGAAGGGCCATTTATCATTGAATATTCTATCTGTTCTTTGCTCTGCTTTCCATCGTTCTTAGAATTGGAGGGCAAGGATGCAAGTTTCCTGCTTCGTAGGGCAAGGGGCAAAAGGGCAATGATAGGGCATGAACCCTAGATTGCCTGTTGAGGTATGTAATGTATGTATGTAACTACACCGTACTCCGTACAGTACAATATAGTTACATACATTATCTTGGCACCCATGCGGCTTTGTCCGTTCATCGTGCGCGATCATGGATATCAACATCACCATAACCCAAAACAACCAACCAACCACCATCACAGCTCATTCCATGGAATGACGACTTCCACAGCAGCAGTGACATCACGGGTGTGTCGATACTTCGTCGGTTAGTTACCCGCTGCTCTTCCCCGCCCGATCTCGAATGGAGTGATGGACGATGCCAAAACTTCGGGTTCAGAACAACCACATCATTATGTGCTTGCTACATGTTAAAAGTTTGTTTACGAATTCGTCCCTGTGCTCATCAACCTTGAGGGGTGCCCAGTTGTGGATTGTTCTTCCTGAAATCAGGGTTGATGAGTCGCGGGATATTATCCCTGTAAGAAGTTCTGCCTTGCCTTGCCTTGCCCTGCCCTGCCCTGCCCTGCCCTGCTTGACGAGGAAAAATGCCTTTGGTTTGAGAGAAGAGATGAGCGTCAAATTTTGATTGGAAGATTCAGCGGGTCGGTCGTTTGCTTGGAGCGATGGTTGGAAATGGGCATATATAACGCACAGTACACTTGAACATGGTGCCAACTCAGGTCGGAAAAACAGCTCAGCGTGGTTCCAACCCCATTTCAACTGGAACTCATGGCATGGCACTACCCCATTACAAGTGCTCAACACCCAATGTGTATTTTAGAGGGAGGTGAAATAACATGTGGTGGCCCTGGTGGGTGGGATAGTTGTTGATCTCTCATCAATCTCGGAGGAGCTATGTGTGGATCACGTGCTGAGAGGCGATTGCTGTGGCAAAACCCCTCAAGGTTGGTGGCCCGCTGCATACGCTGGAATAATCGACGACGATATTATTATTTTGGCATTCTCAGCCACTTGGAGCACTTGGAGCCATCCTCACTAACTACTCCCCTCCCCCCACACACCTAAAAGTGGCTTGTGGGTGTATTGCAGCGAATCAGAACTTGGCTTAGGTGTTGTTCCGCACATCTAGCCAGGCCCCTGAATTAGCAGCAACCGACGTTGAACCTAGAAGGTTCTGACCTTATCCCACAACGAAATTCTACGCGCTACTAAGTTTTCATACAACAACAAAGTTTTCATACAACAACAAAACAACGGATCAATTATTTATGAATTGAGGATTGAATGAGAACAACTGTGAAAATAAGAAACAAAGAAATGAATCCACCAGGTGAAGAGGACAGGAAAATGTCTGTTATAGATATCACAAAGGACTTATCGGCTCTCTTCCTCCAGCAGGTGCATGTGACACCAGATGCTATCGCCTTAGAGGACCAAAAGACCCAATACACCTATTCCGAACTCGACAGGAAAGTCTCAGAACTTGCTCTTCGTCTCCGTGGACATGGCGTTGGTCGAGACAGCCTTGTTGGTGTGCTTCTGGGCCGCAGCGCCGACTACGTGATTGCCTGTTTGGCAGCTCTTCGTGCCGGGGGAGCTTTTCTTGTTCTCGAGCTTGCCTATCCCCCGAACCTCCTCGCTGATGTTATCGACGATTCCAATCCCACCGTGATAATCACGAATCAAAGCCAGGCTGCCAAAATAAAGGCCAGCACCCCATTGATAGTCCTCGACAAGCCGCAGAAAGAAACCCCGCATGCGAACGAACTCCCGCCATTACCTGCTGACGATGATTTGGAACGGCTAGCTTTTGTATCTTACTCGTCCGGGACAACTGGCCGCCCGAAAGGAATTGCAAATCCACACCGGGCACCGGTCCTCTCATATAATCTCAGATTTCGACTTTCTGATCTTCAGCCCGGAGACCGTGTGGCTTGCAATGTCTTCTTTGTTTGGGAAATACTACGCCCTCTCTTGCGAGGAGCGACGGTCGTTGCGGTTCCGGATGATATGAGTTACGACCCTGCTGCACTGGTCGACCTACTTTCTGCGAAACGTATCACAGAAACACTAATGACTCCTACGCTTTTGGCCGCGGTACTTTCAAGGCACCCGGCAATTGGGAGCCGTCTCCCGGATCTGCGCACCTTGTGGCTTAATGGTGAGGTCGTCAGCACTGATTTAGCCCGGCGAGCGATCAAAGCTCTTCCAAACACCCGACTGCTCAACTGTTACAGTGCCTGCGAAACCCATGAGATTGCGTGCGGGGACATCAGGGATATGCTTGATGACGAAGCCCTTTACTGCCCCGTTGGTCCACCATTGTTCCCTAAACAGACGTATATTCTAGATGATAGTGGCAAACCAGTGGAACATGGGGTTGGTGGTGAGCTTTTCATTGGCGGGCCGTTGCTAGCCCGAGGGTATCTGAACCGCCCTGAAACTACGGCCAAGGCTTTCATCCCAAACCCATTCGATTCAACACCAGGAGCCCTCATGTACAGAACCGGAGACACAGCCAAAATGTTACCCTCGGGGCTTCTCGAGATTAGCGGTCGCGTTGGGGCTATGATTAAGCTGCGTGGTTATTCTGTTGTTCCAGGAAAGGTTGAAAATGCCATCATCAACCATCTTGCTGTTAACGACTGTGTCGTAGTCGCCCACGGTGAAGGTTTAGAAAGGCAATTGGTAGCGTATGTTGTCCAGGACAAGGCAAATTCTTCTGGTCGGCCAAATATAGAAGTCAATGAATCAGGACATAGCCCAGCAGCACGTCGCATACTTTCTCCTTATCTGGCCCACTACATGATTCCAGCATTATGGGTCGAACTAAATGAGCTACCAACCCATGAAGTCTCCGGAAAAGCCGATTTGAAACGCCTCCCTCCCCCTCCGACACCCAAACCTATAATAACAAATGGGCATAAGGCTAAAAGCGATCCAATCTCAATTGACGCGATAGCCGAATTTTGGGCTGCATCCCTCAAAATAGCACGCAGCGCCATTACTCCAGAGCACAACTTTTTCGATTTAGGTGGGCACTCCTTGTCAATTGCTGACCTTGCCTCAAGACTATCGAAAAATTTTGGTTTCCGCATCCCCCTCGACCGTCTAGTGGATCCTCCAACGCTCACTGGTCACCTGAAAACGGTACGTGCTGTACGGGATGGGCACACTGCCGCATTACAAGCAGATCTACCAGCAGTATTACGCGCGGACTCTATCCTTGACGATGACATTCAACCCTCCAGTGCGAAAACAAGGTCGCTCTCCGAGGCAAATACAGTGCTCCTTACTGGCGCGACTGGTTTCTTAGGTGCATTTCTCCTCAACGACTTGTTGGAAGCCACATCCGCCAAGATCGTGTGTCTTGTTCGTTTTAACGACCCTTCTGGTGAAGATGGCCCGGGAGGCGTAGCGAGAATACGCAGAAATCTGCTTGATCTGGGATTATGGCGCGACTCGATCATGGAGCGAGTCGAGATCCTGCCCGGAAATCTATCTCGAAAACGCTTTGGTCTATCCCCCCAGGCTTTCGATGATCTTGCCGCTCGTGTCCAGGTCATCATCCATGCTGCGGCGACAGTCAATCTTGTATATCCATATGCCGCCCTGCGAGGTGCCAATGTAGGAGGGACGAGAGAGATCTTGCGCCTCGCGTGTCAGTCCGGTGCCACAGTACAATATGTATCGACAAACGGAGTGTTGCCTCCATCTCAGAAAGGCTGGCCAGAGGATGCCATGCTTGATGTATCTGAAGTTCCAGAAAAGCTGCTTGACGGGTACGGCCAGACCAAATGGGTGGCAGAGCAACTTGTGCTCGAGGCTGGTCGTCGTGGCCTGCCGGTGAAAATATTACGAGCCGGAACAATAAGTGGTCACAGTACCACGGGCGCTGGAAACGCCTGGGATCTCCTATCTGCATTAATCGTGGAATCGATCCATCTCGGTTATGCGCCTGACGTAGAGGGGTGGCGTGCAGAGATGACTCCAGTAGACTTCGTCAGCAAAGCTATTATCCATCTCTCCAATCAGACTCAAACCAATCGGGTTATGTTTCATCTCGGTGACCCAAGCCCTGTCGACACACGAACCGTGTTCGATTGCCTCAAGGACCTAGGCTACCCAACCCAGCGTCTCAGCTGGGATGAATGGGTTGCATTGTGGACGGAGAAAAGAGCATCTGCAAAAGGTGGAGATGGCGCCTTTACAGTTGACATCCTTCGAAGCGGCATGCCAACTGTTGATTTCCTCAAAGGCATTGTTGTCCTGAGCAACGCTGAAACTAGGCCTTTCCATTCGGACGTCGAACGCCCCAAGGTGGACATTATCTTGCTAGAAACCTACGCTCGCCATTGGTTTGCCCGAGGTTGGCTCCCTCGCTCTCCTTCCCGGAAACATTGCCTCAACGGAGTTTCGCAGCCAGTACCCAAAGGTCCACTTAGCGGCCATGTTGCAGTCATCACCGGCGCATCTTCCGGAATCGGTGCGGCGGTTGCTACTGCCTTGGCCCGAGAAGGGGCCCATGTTGCTCTCGGTGCACGACGCACTAAAGCTCTTGAAGCCGTAAAGAGCACCCTTCCTCTCCGTGACAACAAAGCAATTATCCGACAAACCGACGTGACAGATAAGTCCCAGGTGGAAGCCCTAGTTCGTGCAGCCAACGAGGAGCTAGGCCCCGTGGATATAGTTGTCGCCTGCGCTGGAGTCATGTACTTCACAATGATGGCGAATACGCAGATGGAGGAGTGGGATCGCACTGTCGATGTGAACTGCAAAGGCCTCCTACACTGTCTCGCGGCCACTGTGCCGTCAATGCTTTCTCGTGGTAAAGGCCATATCGTCGCCATATCATCTGATGCCGGCCGTAAAGTCTTCCCTGGACTAAGCGTCTACTCAGCAAGCAAATTCTTTGTCGAAGCCACGTTACAAGGGCTGCGACTGGAGACAGCAGGTAAAGGCTTGCGCGTCACGAGCGTCCAACCGGGAAATACGGCCACCGATCTTCTAGGGATGTCTACTGATGCTGAGGCTATTAAACAGTATGGTGAACCATCAGGAGCTCGGATCCTAGATCCGGAAGATGTAGCGAACTCGATAATTTATGCGTTACGACAACCCGAGCACGTCGCTGTGAATGAGGTACTGATTGAGCCTCGCGATGAGCCCATTTAAACGCTGACCCCGGGAAAAAAAAGAGAGGAAAGCCCGATTTTCAACCAGCAGATATCTATTATACCCCATTCCAAACAGGACAAAGCAGGTGAACAAACACCTTTCATCAGGTCGCCTTCTTTTCAACAAGATTGGCACGGCCAACTAAGTTACCATTCATTCTCCGTCGATTTACATTAGTTTATAGCTCCTTTCCATTTTCCGTCTAAGTAGCCGTACACACTCTCATTAATAACCCCAATCATCGCCTCACACTTTCCTGCGTCGATGTCTTGCTCTAGACATTTCACTTACTTAGCGGTGGAGATATTTGAGTCTACAAGAAAGCAACCACTCAAGCGGCAGAATTCAAATTGGAAAACAAATTCTGCGCGTCCATTCAAGTTCCTTCTGGGGAACAAGCTTTGGATGAAAGAAAATTATTCGTGACAGTGATCGATACATGAGATATGATAGAGACAGCCCATAGCGACAAAAGAATCATGTAGGTGACCACAGAACTAACCACAATTCAAGATACCATTTTCAAACTACTACCATTTTATTTCATGCCCAAGTCTGGGGGATATTTGAAATGATAACAGGTCTCAAGTTACGCAAGCTTATCGCTTATCTAGGATTAGGTATCATACAACCGCTCCCATATCTGAGAATTTTTATTAATGGTGTGGTCGCCTGCTAACATTTAATGAAGCCACACTTGCCACAAGTCATCACGGTTTGTCTTGCAGCGAAATGAGTTCGTATGTATATGAGGAGATCTGTCCTGCGTGGAACTTTTTATGTAAAGCCTGGGACCAACTTTCCAGCTAACATGCATGTAATATTATGGACGCCTCGCGGCGCTTGAAAGTACCACACCAAAATAAACGACTGAGGAGATGAATAGTGATACATCAAAAGCAGGAATCAAAACCGGCGGGAAAAACAGACAAATGAAAAAAAGGGATGAAAACTTGAGATCCAAGGGGACAAAAACAGTATCATGAACTCTCCACCCTCTAACAGAAACTTTTAGCCCATATCAGCAAGGGAAAAAAACAATACATATGTCTGATTCTTGTCAATGTTGCAAGACGACCAGAACCGCGATCTCGGATCCCATCTCCCGAGCTCGCAACGTGCTTTTTAAGGTTTTGGTATGACTTGTCCAGCTATTTTCTCCCGTACTTGAAATGAATAGGATCGCTCTCCCAACGCACACGAATGAGAAGTATGTAATGTACATGTACATTACATTACGTGCAACTCGCTCGTCAGCTCGCAGGGGCCGGTCTTTTCGGCCATGTTGTAATTCCACATCAGCGGCTATGCTCTCAGCACATACTATGCGGGAAGCTAGGGTTACTGCTTTGAATCGGCTCGAGGGGTTTCCCCGCCGGCTTCCTGCAAAGTCTGGTGGGTTGATCCACCGACGCTGGTGTATCTGCCAGGGGGCCTGCAAACACAGGCTTGATCAACAACAAGCAGAAGCAGATTTTGAGTAAAACCAAAAACTGAGGAGTCATTGTGAACGACTGACAAAATGAGTTTCTTTGAGAGTTCGTGGCGAAGAGGGCTTCTTCCGAAGGTGGTGAAGATGAGAGAAAGAGAAAGAAAGGGTTGTCAAGATTCCGTTTGCAATCGAACAAACTTGTTTCTTCTTATATAACTCCGCGCTTCTCTTATAGCGAGCATATGGCCCCCTATTCGGACGTAACTGGCAACCATCTGTTTTTAGAACAGAAATTGATTTAGAGCTCAAGATTGGATAGCAACAGGTGTACTCCGTAGTTGATTTTGATATTAAATTTCGGCCGGCATGTAGGTGTACGTATGTATGTATGTATGTCCTATACCTGCTCCATCGTGGCAGTTCAGCAACTCCAATTTGTAAAGCACCACTAACTAGTCCACAATGAGGAAGGCCATGGCGCCCGCACAAATAAGGAGGGGGGGGGGGGGGGGCGCTTAAACTCATGCTCAGGTACGGATGTAGATAGAACTCAGCCTGGGCAAGGGAAACTGATATTATCCAAGGGTCTTAACTATCTCAAGAATTGTAGTGACAATGATAGCACACAGTATCCGTGCCAATGAACCAATCCCAGCTGCGCTGAAAGTGTTTGATAAAGCATGGTAAATAAGCTAAACCGGCGGATATACCCCCAGATGGTACTACGGGCGATCCTAACATTCCGATCACTCCGCTGATTTCTGGGATCTCTTGTGGCTCTCTGTCATTACATAGCTGGGGGCCAGAGATTCCACTCGGATTATCTTGGATGTGAATGGCCTTGCCTCACCGCATACGTTAAAACTCTCCCAAAGTCTCGAGCAACTAGCAACGATGGCCCCGCTCGTCCAGTCTCTCGCGTGTTGATTCTGATCGTCATTACGATACTGCATTCTGCTGGCTGTGGATACCCACCCCTACACCCCTCCTCCCCCTTTTCACCAGGAACGGCTCCCAGCCTATCCTATGCACGCTGCAGAATCCTTGGAGGGCAGTGAATTGTAACTAGATAGGTAAACAGATATGTGATGCCTTCAACAGCGGCGATACAGCCCAAGGGCACGGGAGTAACGTGCCTTGGGAAACCCTTGAAAAGGTGAGTCAAGAGCCGGAGCCAACGCCGAAGACCATTGACTTGAGCTATCGGGAGATGTTTTGGGATGAACTTACGTATACAATTATACAATAACTGTGGGCAAATCTACCACTTCTGCTCCACAGAGTAAGTCCTCTTTCGTTTCATCTGCCTCTCCCACGCTAGCATGGCCCACTTCACTATATACTTAGACATCATGAGCTGCTTCGCCGTCGGCCTTTCTTTCCGCTGGTTCAAATGCCATCATAGCCCTCAGCATATCCTCCAGAGCTTTGAGCTCACCACCAGCAACATCCTATTCACAGGCTTCTGGCGTCTCACCCCGGCCCATATCCCACATCCGTTGGTGAAGACGACAGAATACAGGTGTGCCGATGTGCTCGAAGTTGGTGATCCATGAGCCATCTGGGTTGAAGAACTCAGAGCGATTCGTCCAGGAACCCCACCATCGTGCGGGCAGTTGTCCCAAGGTGTTTGACCATCTCGGCAATGATGTGGTTTGGGTCCCATGCAAAGGTTTCAAAGAGAGGCCGTTCGCCCATGGCATCGTAGAGGACGACACCCAGCGTCCATACATCAGCCGCGGTGGTGATGCGTTCATTGAAGAATTCTTCTGGCGGGGAATACAGGGTCGGCGTGTGAGGTGTTGGAGACGGAGCTTTTGAAGCAATAAAAGACGTCCCATAGTCCGAGATAATAATCTCAGGATCCATCACCTCGTTCGCAGGCCTGTTCCAATTCATGGGATAGATGATATGCGGTGGCGCATGGGGTGTGCTAGGCTTTCCGTCAAGGCGCCGGGTAGGAACCTCATATGGTTTTCCATGGCGCTTGTACAGTTCAGTTGTACATGTACTCAAATTGTCAAAGCCCGGGACACGAAGAAGAAATTTGTCCAGATGGAGATCTGTCTGATTCAGTAATTTTGGATGAGCAATCAGGGGGACAAGGCTGTATTTGACGTACCTTCATGGCATACATCGTTCGCATGCATGTAGTTCAAGACCATGATGGGCTAGGCAGCGGTGGATCCGGCAGCATCTCGTGGAAACATAAAGTTTGTACCGTTCTCCTTCGAATTGGCGATGCTGCAGCCCCGGCAGGCTCTCCCACCATGGGACCATAAAAAGAGAACTGGTCAAGCAAGGTTGGGATAAACCGTCTTCCGAAACAATTCGATGTACCCTTAGCCAATAGACGGAGAATTTCACCCTCATTACTGGCCGGTGAAGCTCCTGTAACAAGTATCTTCAGCGATACATAGCACTGGAGCTGCTGGTCATGGGCGAGCCAGACTGTTGAATAACCACCATATCGCAAAAGCTGTCTCCAATGAGAGTTGGATGGTACCCGCCGGCGTGTATCCTTCCAAATCCTCCACATCTGACTCGGGGTAGGAAATCCTCTCGGCTTCCAAAGACGGTGACTCAGCCGTGGAATGGCAAAGCAGAAATGGATGTCCTGGCTGTCGCATCAGTGGAGATTTATGAGGAAGCCTTTGGTGATGTTGCTGAAAGACAGCGAACCGAGAAAAGGTCCAACCCTGCTAACAGGAGCAAATCTCCAGCCTACCCTCATTGTCTTGTTGATGTGTGAGGTCGATGAGATGTTCAGGTTAGCCGCTGATGACAAGCCAAGAGACAAGACAGCCAATGCTAGTCGAGCAGTGTGAGTACTCCGTTTGAATACCCAATGCCAACATTGCAAATGATAGTGGGAGTTTAGTATGGCCGGTCTCAGAGGATACAAAAGAGACAGACACTTTCACGGGCTCATCAGAGCCATCACTGATGGTGGCAGCTGCTACTTCATGTGTAGCAAGACTATTTATTAATATCTAAGTATTTAGGAGTGACTTCATCACTCCTGAAGTCTGTTTGAACATCTAAGCACCGTTACCTACCACCTACTACATACTGGATAGCAAGCAACCACCTAGGTAGATAGCAACACTCACTATATATGTACTGGCAAGAAGATGAGTTATCCCGTAGGTTATCAGGCAAAGTCATCGTTATCACTGGTGGTGAGTTGAAAAAACCAACTCCATCCCCTAAGCTCCCCTCATTTTCAACAAAAGACACTTAGCTTACCCTTCAGATCACCAGGAACCGCCGGTGTCGGTAAAGAAGCAATCCTCAAACTCGCCCAGCACAATCCCGCTCATATCTACTTCACGGGCCGCAACGTGCAGGCCGTCAACTCCCTCATTGACGAGGTAAACGCCATTACCACCTCTACTACCACGACCAACGATGGAAACAGCATACTCACATTCATCCCCTGCGACCAAACCTCCCTCAGCTCCGTCCGTGATGCCACAAAGCTCCTACTCGCCAAATCGACGTCTTAATCTGCAACACGGGCGTCATGGCCATACCCCCGAGATCTAATTTGCCATAAACCACCTCTCCCATGCCCTGCTGGTAAAACACTGTATACCCGCGCTGCAGAACGCACGGGCCAAAAACAAAGGCGCGGCCGGCCACGGCCGTATCGTTGTTACTTCCACGCCTGGGTTTAGGGGCGCGCCGGAGGGGGTTGGCGGGATTGGTTTCGCGGGGCTGAAGAAGATGCAAGGCGGTGTAGGCGGGCCGGCCATGCTGGCCAAAAACACGCTATACTCGCAGAACAAACTTGCGAATGTCCTGCACGCTGCAGAGCTGGCGATGCGCTATCCGGAGCTTCCCGTCGCTGCTAGTCATCCGGGAGTGATTGCGTCGACGGAGCTGATGGGGCATATGAATTTCATCGACCGGTTGGTGGTCAAGTTGGCTGTGAGGAATTTTGAGTCCTACAGTTTGCAGGAGGGGGTGTATAATACCCTCTGGGCCGCGATGACGACGACGACGACACAGGCAACAGGGACGGCTGGGCAGGAGGGGGCTTCGTTGGAGTCCGGCGGCCTTTGCGAGGCCGTGGGAAAGCCACTTGCACACACGAAGTTGTCCGCCGATGAAGCTCTTGCGGGCAAGTTATGGGAATGGACGGAGAAGGAAATTGAACGGTATTTGCAGTGATGATGTTTTCGTTGTTTCTTCTTTTCTTCTTCTTCTTCTTTCACTTTTTTAATACGAAAGTAATATGTAGCGCTGCTATTTTATTTGTTCTATGCCCGGATATGGGATGGGAAATGTGTATAATAGCTAGTTACCTATAAATCAGTATTGATTTTTCTCATATCCCTCTAAATAATGTTTGACAATCTCAAAAGGCAGTTGCCGCAATTTCCAAAGCATTTGAGTGTGTCTCTAGAAGGTGGGGATGGCGATGGCGAACTCATTACTATTTATCTTGCTGGCTCAGTTTCCATATTGTAATAACCTATGTTCAACGAATCTGACCTTCCACTCATACTCTCAATTTCATATGTCTTATTTATCACCAGCGGGAATAAGTAGCAAGATATCCGCTCCCCGATGGTGCAACTGACAATCGCCCAATCAAGTGCCCATAACGTACCCTCACCGTCTTGCGCAATGGGGCGGCGGATGTCGACAGAATAAAAATGGCTATTATTACAGTTAATCGGCAAACCAATTCGTCACCCTCTCTATACTTTGCGTGATGCGTCATCGTTCAGCGCTCGGAAACATGGCGAAAATGACATCGGCGGTTTTCGTCTTCTTCGTCTTCGTATCGTCATTATTTTTTTGCTCCCCGCCCCCACATCTCTCTATCCCAAAAAAAGGCAGAAAGGTCAGGTGGGACTCTGAATCTGAAATTCGCGCCGTTTCAGTAGATAGCGTGGGAAGATAGAGTGATTCAGACAATGAAAGTATCAGCAAAAATCCAAAAAACGCAAGGATGAAGAAAATTTCCAAATGATCAGCCAAACTTTGTTGGTTTTCCCCCGCGCGGGTTTTTTGCGACAAGTGATCAGACGGGAGCGATTTGTTCCTCTTATCCCCCTCCCGTCAGACGAGCGGATAAACAATCATTTACTCGACTGAGGCGGGAGGAGAGGTGGGGGAAAAGAACGTATACGGGGAACCCATCAAGGGTTCCGCCTCACCGAGGCAAGTCAAGCGACAGGAAATGAAGAACAATAGGTTCCTTCGTTTCCTAGTTATGATGATACCCATGTTTTTCGCCTAAGCGGGCTCCCGGGCCGGCCGACGATGAGGACTTTTGGTGCGAAAAAGGAATATTCCAGAAAAAGGCGGGGCTGATTGATAGGCGAATTCGCTAGCACGAATGACAGCACAGACCCTGCTGGACGAACGAGCCTTCAAGAGTCTGGAAATGGGCGAACAACAAGAGCCGGTATCCAACCATTTCCCCATGCGGTAAAACGTGTATAATGCATCCTGCGTATCACTCTGGTCAGAAGATGAAGTCCGCTATATACCAGGTCACACGACCGATAATATCCCGTGTGTACGGCGTATGGCATGCATAATAATAATAAGAATAGAGAGCCATGAGCATGGATTTCATTTCTCATTATTATTCCACCTATACCCAGCTGGTAAAAAGGAAAACCACTTTGCTGTGGAAGCAACAAAAAGAAGGATCTGTCCCTCCCACCTGACCACCGGACATAATTCTTGATGTGAAGCGCATTGCGATTGAATTCTGCATATTCAGGCAGGGTGTGGCGACGATCTACTGCATTAATTAGTCCTGATCTGCTGCAAGGCATTCTTGTCAGCAGCGGTAAAATGCAGTGCAACGGGCAACCCTTGGCGTTGGAAGCATCTCTTTTTGTTGGTTGGTGGAAAATATCCTTTACGGAAAAAAAAAAACTGCAACGGACTCAAGGCAGTAGTCCTCGGCCTGGGATGCTTTCATAGAGAAAATAATATGAAATCCGTTCGAAGGATGGGCTTATTTTCTCGTTGGAGTGGTGACAAAGACATCTTATATTCAACAGATTATGTAGGCTACTGGGGCAAAAGAGCTCAGTCACCACCAGCGCACTGCTGGTAGAAGGGCCGATCAACCCGGGACCCCCAACACCCCCCCTCGGACCAGCTACCACAGAGTACAGTACTCCTCTCAGTGGCTCCTCTCAGTGGCTCCTCTTAGTGGCTCCTCTTAGTGGCTCCTCTCAGTGGACTCAGTCCTAGGGCTCATTCTTTCAAGGGCTCACTCCTAGGGCACACTCCTAGGATGTCTCTTGGCACTGTTTTAAATGTCCAGGGTATTTGTTTGGGATTTTTTAAGTCCATCCTGGGATCGAACCCATGCATGTTGACCACAGCGGGGCTCACGCTAAACGGTCTCATAACCTGTAGGCTACTGGGGCAAAAGAGCTCAGTCACCACCAGTGACCGCACTGCTGGCCCAACAGATTATCTATATGTCAGCGTTGATTGTAAAATAATGTAAAATCAGTTAAAAAAAAGGTGTGTAAAGAAACAACGAAATACCGGCAACCCGGCATCCCCAACCCCCCGCAATTAACGAGAGAAGCGATCATGGTAGTGGTGGTAGTGGTACGGACTACTATGCTCAAGCGTGTCCTCGACTTGGGTGTGTCGCATTAAATATTACGCGAGGTCATGCCTGCGGCGTTAGGCTGGATGGAGCAACTGCACCACTTATACAACCATTTTCAGTGGGGGGATTTAGGTATGAATAAAATAGTTCAAAAAGGGAACAATTTTCTCAGCGGCTCCGAGGAGAATCGGTAGGTTTCCAGCTCGTAACCCCACGGTGGTGTGGTTGTCAGCTCACAGACCTGTGAAATATCACAACCCACCCCCACCCCCACCACTGATTGCAACTTTTGCCAGTCGGCGGCACAGAGGAGGAATAATAACTTTTAATCATAGTAAATAGTAATAATGAGAATGAAAACGAGAATAAATGAATGAATAGAATTGTTGCATCTGGACAGACTGAGACAGCGAGACGGTGTATTCGGAAACCGTTTTCGGGGAACACTGAACAGTAGCGGTCACCAAGTGGTTGCAACAATGACGTTTCCCCGCCAAGTTCTGTACGGTGTACTATGTACAGTACTCCGATGTCTTGCTTGCTGGTCAGGACCAGATGAGATGGGCGGGTTAGCACCGGAGCCTTCAGGATTCCACCCACTCATTCCTCTCCCCCTTTTTTCATATATATCCATATATTCTTTCTTTAGCCGGTGAAACTTAACGCCGACTGGAGATGGCTGCACCGTCTATGCTGTACTGCCGAGTTGCCGAGTTGCCGGTGTAGAGGGTAAAAAAAATAAATAAGAAAAATAAATAAATAAAACTGGACGACGGCGGCGGAGTTGGAGCGCTGCTAGGCCAATCATTTCTTGGCAGTGGAAAATCCGAGGAGATCGCCAAGGCGAATATCACACACTAGTTGCTTGGCGGGGTGGAGCGGCGCTGCCCCTGGGGCTTGGCACTGCGCGCACTGCGCACTTTTCCTATGCACGGCGGAAAATCCATTCGTCATTGTTGTTCAACTTTGTCTCGAGGCTCACGCGAGTTAAAATAAGAATAGTGGCTAAATCCGATGCGCCGACGAAACGGATCGCGCCGTCGGTAGTTAGTGATTTGGTGCTGCCCAAGGGGCCAGGGGGGGCGTTGCGCGGCGTTGCACATTATGTTTACTTGATTTATGTGCGGCGAAAGCAACAGGTGGGTGTCACCGTGCCTGTGGACCTCCGATCGCTGGCGGTGTGTCTGAGACTCTGAGAGGGGGTCGAGGAATTAATTTGGTAGCGCGGGCAGTGGTCCGAGATTATTCTTTCATTAGCTCCGTTTTGCTAACTTGCTCCTGCATTCTTCTTGGATCAAAGTCCTCTTTTTTCTCTCACGTCCGGTTTCAAATAAGAACGGTGACGATGGCTCTGCTGTTTCACACCTCGCATCAATTCCATTTTCTCACCCCAACCCGTTAGAGACTGCTGAAACCCTTCCATATTGTTCTCCCTGTCCAATTTCCAATAGATATATTATCATTACTTACCTCCTTTCGATCACCTCTTCTTCTTAAATGTTTCTCTATTTTCATTGCTTCCATCCTTTTCTTTTATGGCTCCCCGATAGAAGTAATTGTTCAGCTTTCCATTCCACCCCCTCCTCCCCCTTCGCCATTTCCCCACTTGCTGCTGGCAGCATCTCGGCGACGTAAACAAGATAAAAACGAAAAAAAAAAAAGAAAGAAAGAAAGCAAAAAGGAAAAGAAAACAAACAACCTCAAAAAAAAGGACCAAACTCAGGAAGAGGATAATCTTCTTACCGAACCAACCATGCCTCTTCTCAACGTCAGCGAGTTGAACGTTGTTCTCTCGATCTTGGGTTTGTAGAGACAGCATATCTCTCGATAATATTCCATAGCGACCAACCCATATTCTTTGTAGGAGCATTCATCGTTCTGTATGGCTCCATCTCCACAAAGATCCGAAATGTTTGGTATCTTGGAGAAGCCTGTAAGTGAAGTGTTTCATTTTACACCCGATCAATCACTTTTTTCCTGACGTGGAACGATACATGGCTGCAGTGCCCGCCGTCATATTTGGTATACTTCTTGGGCCCCTCGCAGCAAAGTTCATAGAAGTTGAACACTGGGGCTCAGCAGCAGAAGATCAGAAGTACCAAGTTACTCTAGTAAGTCATCCCAACAGCCATCTAATCCCCCTTCAGACCACAGTCGTTCGCTAAGCCAGAAATTTTCTGAACCACAGGGCGTGGCTCGGGTTGTCATCGGTGTTCAGCTAGTCATTGCGGGTTTCCAGCTGCCTGCTAAATATCAATTAGCGCGATGGAAAGAAATGGCACTCTGTCTACTTCCTATCATGACCATTATGTGGTTATGCACGACGGGGTGTATCCTCTTGACCATCCCAAACCTTACTCTGGTAAATAAAACCCCTCCCCCGAAGCTAGGGCCCAACCTCCAGAATCGTAGTTCAGATTGGTTAATAGATTGTCGTTTTTAGCTAGCTGCTCTCGTTATCGGATCTTGTGTCACTTGCACGGACCCTATTCTGTCGCAGGCCATTGCTAAAGGACCATTTGCCGACAAATACGTTGATCGGGACTTACGTGAGATTATCTCTTCCGAGGCTGGA